AGCTTTTCCTTCCACAATGTGAACATGGACCGCACTGGGTTTCCCTCAAGGAGGGGCCACATTAGTATGTTTGGTTCCCCCCTTACCTACAGTATGTTTACCCCTGCAGTGTACTGGAGTGCTGTTCCAACCAGGATCATGCTCTGCAGTTATGTCTCCTCCTTTGTCGTCTTATTTTGTTGATTTTCCAACACTTTCTTCTCACCTACGGAGTGGGTGCTTGAGGGGGATGGATATCTGAAGAATGAGAAGTACGAGGCCTTGCCGAGGCAGACCTGAAGATGAAATTCAAAGGCTGAGAATACTGAGTGATGACTGGATCAGCCCGAGGAAGTCTTTTGCAAAAGCCAATTTGCACAAACCCCTCATTACCCTCCCCATCCCATTGAATTATCATCCTCATCAGTTTCTTCTTTACAGAACATGCTGATGGAAGTTTTTTCCTGGCTGATGGTTTGGATAGGGATCCCAGTGCTTCTGGCGGTGAGGCTTGGGGTCCCAGAGCTGGTGGTGGTGGGGCAGTGGGTCCTGGTGCTGGCGGCAGGGGTGTGGGTCCTGGTGCTGGCCACGGGGCTGTGGGTCCCGGTGCTGGCGGCAAGGCTGTTAGTCCTGGTGGTGGGGCCGAGGGTTCCAGTGCTAGCGGCAGGGCAGTGGGTTGCGGTGTTGGCGGTGGGGCTGAGGGTCCCAGTTGCTGACGTCTCAAACGTCTGCATCTGGTCATCACTGTAAAAATTTTGTTAACATGTGGCAAACGTTACTTGATTTTTATAGTTTTGCTCCTCTTAACAATTTTTTAGCCTGATTTGTTCATCTGTTTAAAATAAAACTGATCATCTTGTGTCTAATTGGACAAACTGTTGGAAAAACTACATGTACATGTGCATGAGGCTTTGGATGAAACATTTAGATGAAACAAAATTTTACATACATTCAAGTTTAACATCTGTTAGTGGGTGACAGCCAGTTCAGGATTTTAGTAGAAAAGGATTGATCAGGGTTGACCATTCTATTTAGCCTGACCGCACAGCATTAATACATCATTTTTTCAAAAGATCAGTGCAAAATACATTTATAGTGGTTTATGCAGATCTGGCTAATTCTAAAATTAAGATAAATGGTGCGAACCAGCATGTTTTCCACTGCCGTCTGCAACACTTCACCAAAGAGGCGGTTCCCACACCAATTCAGATGGACTCCATCATGTGTAAAATGATGACGTTGGAAGCGGTTATGGTTGCTAAGAAATCTGTATCCAGCAATGCTCGAGCACAGTTTCACCAAGTGCCCATTGAAAACGTCAGCCTTCAGGGCCAAATCGTCACTATCGTGGCGGGGCAAAATCCCACTCACAAGAAGATTTGAGCTGATGGGTGTTTATGTCTGGCTATCTGTAGCAGTTTTTGGAAGTGCTTCAGAAAGAGGTGCAAAAACTCTTTCCACAAGTCATTCATGCCTACATGTATAACGACAACATGGGCAGACTGAGATTCATCATGGCAAAATAAATCCCTCAAGGTTTGACAGAGCCGTGAAGTGGTGCTCCCTGGCTTGGTTACAACCTCTAGCACAAACCAATCACTGTCAAGGTTATACGGCAAGAATCTTGTGATTGAATCACCCAGTATCTTGGCACGAAACCAAAGCAGCTGACTCTGTGTGCTGGGCCTGTGAAAAGAGAATATACAGACACAGGAAATGAAAAGAAATAAGTGTACATGGCAAAATATTGTGACAAGAACAAGATCCATTGTTACAGTGATTACTAAAGAGTTATGCTGAGGTATTGTAAGTGTCGAAAGATTACAGAATGGAATTTCACAAGTGCCAGAATGCTGAGCAAAGGCATCAATCAAAATTATTTGTCAATTTAAAGTAATAATGCATTCATTTGAGTTGGTGCTTGATCTAACAATGCATATTCTTTTAATCCCCTGAACAAAATGATGTAAACTGCTTTAAAAAGGTTTATACATTGTAGGATGATCAATGCACCAACAAGCTGAAAGTGTGCACAGGAGTAAAGGAAGCTACTATTGTTAATGTTAAAAGTTGTTGTTGAAGAAATTACAAGACAAATTATATTCATACTCCAACATACAAATATTTGTTCAATTGATGAACCAGTTTACAGAGGTCATATTTCTGTGGAATAGATTATGTATCTGAATCATGTATCACTTCGACCAATTTTTATTACATTCGAAGAAAATTTTTAAAAAGCCCTTAATAAATAACAGAAATAAGAGGAGTATTTTTGGCAATTATTTTTTAAAATTTAAGTATTCTGCTGATACAACAGGAACGCCTACATGAAAATTGAAACATAGGCTTATGTAAGATGGAAAAAAACTGGATACAATTTTTTTCTCTCCTTTGTAAAAAAACATGAATTACTAATAAAATCTATTTTGTCTGTCTCCTTAGGCCATTCCAGGTTCATTAAATGTCCCTCTCTCGAAAGGGTGAGCCAACATGTACATGTACGCCCGATAGAAAGTCTACAACCGAAGGGCTTAGGCAACACCTAATCATGTAATAGCTCTCCCAAAACAAGCATGTGTGTCGCGTTGACAAAGAAAAAAGACTGTTGACGTCATGGATGTCTCACATCATGGGGTGTAATCAGGCCCTTGGGGTAATTTGGAAACTCTCATCAGAATTTGGCATTAAAATAGATATTTCCATACAGGATCTGCATAGATGGAAATGGTTCGGTTTGAAAAGAAGATCTCAAGAACAACAAATAAGGGTCTTAGCAAAAAAAAATTCTGCTGACATAAACATTGGTAAATATGTTGTCATGCATTCAAGATAAGCCTAAAACAAGTAAAATTCATGTGGGTACATTATGTAGGCCTAGACCATATTTTAAAAACTCACCCATCTGTCACAAATGAATGAAATGCACAACTTTGACTACTGTACTAGGCCCTTCATGTTCATGACCAACTTCTGACGGATAATCCCACTACCATTTATAAAAAAAGGCATAATTTATTTTGGCCTATTCACGACCGACCATGCATGCATGCATGGTATGCATCATGTTCGATTGTGCTGTCAACCATGCCAAGCTGCATTTTAAGTGCACGAGTCAGCCAAAAGCCCCTATTGTCGACACTGGAAGAACGCACGGCGCGGGACCTTGCGACCGATGCGAAAAAACCCAGTGCACTGTCGTGACGTCATCGCCGAATGGCAAAAGTACGAAATTCAGAATTTTTGAAAATGTTTGACAGCAAATTAAAACTTCATAAAACAACTTGCATTAGCAATTTCGGTGTCATTGAAAGCACTTTGTTTCGCACACAAGAAAAACATCACTGTTTTCTCGTAAGTTTCTCGAAACAGTCAGGAGCACCAAAAAAGAAAAGCCCTTCCCGAAAATGTCAAGGATTATAACCACATTCTTATTGGTAAGTTAACCACTTTTCACGCATTTCCAACTATAAAGTTATATATCAAAATACAGCTTAGAATTTGATCATTCACTTACCACTCCATGTTGGCCCATCACTGCCTGCTGACGGGTTCCCTGTCCTTTTTTCCAGGGTTACTACCAAACGCGCGCAAAATCTCAAAAAATTTCAAGCGGTCTGAGACCGTGAACACGCTGCAAATAAAATATCGGTGCGTACTTCATTACCGAGTATGTTGCGCACTGACTGCTGTATTTTTCGTCCTCACGAAAAACTCAAAGGGGCACACTGTTGCCATCTTGTCTTTCTGTGCGTGTTTGTGTACTAACGTGACACATCTACCGTAGTGTGAACTTGTGAACAAAAGATGTCAGCACAATGTTGAAAGGGAAGACATTCTGTAGACTGTACACAGGACGTTTTCCTTTTCTGAATAGGAAGTATAGAGGCATTTTGGGGTTAAGGTCATCTGCTGTAAAAAGGAAGAGGAACAGTCAAGGAAACCTTTTACAAAAATGCAGTGCAAAAACAAAGGAATGTCCATACCAGTTATGTTAGTATGTGGGTGTGTGTGGGGGGTAGGCCTCTATGTACAAGTACAATAAGGGGACAGTTTTCTTTTGTTAGGACATTTAGGACAAAATTTGTCCCCATGGCATTTTCAGTACCCAAGAATGACTGAAAATACAAGTACTGGTATTTGTCCCCACAACTATGGTACAAGTGTGTGTGTCAAGAATATTCTTGTTAGCATAATAACTTGAGAAATATTTTATCTACATGTATAAATTTCAAATTTGGCTTGTCAATTTCTTGGGTGATAACTCTAACGGTATTACAGTAAAGGTCAAACAATTAATGCCTAAAACAAGAAATCTTGTTTGCAATCTGAAACTAAAGTTGTAGGTTTTAGGCATGGTCTTGATGGGACATTTGTGTTTAACACGTCATTCTTGTTCAAAATGTTTCTGATAAAGTCTTTTGTAAGCTTTGCATGTAGTATTTGGAAACATGTGCACATCTGTGAGGACTGACCCATGAGCAAGGCCTGAAAAGGAAATTCATGTCATTAAAAGATTTGCACGTCCCTGAAGACAAACATGTACAAATACACAGAATTTACAATGAAATAATGCAATGACACTTACACTGCCTACCGTGCAATGGATACAGTTTCAATGTTCTTATCAAAAATATGGGTGTTTCACAATACAGTGCACCACCATGAGGTTGCTACAAAGAGTCAATAAAAACAGAGCTTACTTGCTGTGATTTAAATGTTAGCGAATGTCAGACAACTCTGCAGAATTTATGATTGATCGAGTCATTTCTTGCCATTTTTTCTATGGCAGCCTCTTAAATTAATCAAAGATTAAATCTCCTCGTACAAAATACTAACGTTATTTACAAGCATTTACAAATTTCGACTGAATTTAACACTTGTTGAGGTCCTTTTTTCCTTCTTTTTGAGCAATCTGCAGTGAGGGAAACTTTCATAGATGGGGAAATAAGTAGGTATATTATGATATATGTTACATTCAAATACTGTTATGTTGTATGTTGTATTTGGATACATTACAGATTGGTGTGAAAGTCACAATGTTTCAGCCAAATTTGAGGATCTATCTGACGTAAAGCTGGCTGAACTCCTTGAAAGGGTCTACAGAGAAGGACCAAGAGTAAAACCAGAAGTATATACAACTTATACACTCCAAGGTTAGTCTGCATGTTACAGTAGTCTTTTACCTTGAATTTGTATGATGCTTCTGTCTTGTAATCATTTTGTCAAACCCACAAGTAAAATAAATCTCAAAAGATCGAAGCAGTTTAAGAATATCTTAGGAGACTATTTTGCAATGGAAGCAATGAAATTGGGCAATTGAGTTGTGATATGAGCAAAACGAAATAATTTATCTTATTCACAGTATTCAGACAAAACATCTACATGTATCAAGAGTTATAGCCTCAGGATAAAAACTTTGTTCTACATGTAAGCTGGCAGGGACCTTCATGCACTTCAAGTCGATACAGTCTTTGATTTTGTTTATGGAAGCATCGTCATCAAAGTCCTGTGGGAAATCTAATTTGGCCTGTGCTATGATGGCCATGAAGATCCGTTGTCTGTTCAGAGCTTCTTTCCATACCCAATTCTTCCCATCGAACATTTCCCCACCATGGAAGTTCGATCTTGTAAGGTCTTCCCCTACATCCTTGATAATTGAGTAGGAACATCTCTTATCCCAATATCCACATTTTAATCCATGAAAACCGTCAATCTTGGTGGCGATGATTCTACTGAAACTTTTGTCTTACTGCAAAGCTCATATTATTAAAACATATCTTTAAATAAGTTGGTTTGAAAGCAGACATTTGCAGGTTTCAAGAAACTCAGTCACCACTTCATGCCAGGGCATTTTTCAATGTTGATGATGCTGGGCTGGCATGACTATCATTTTTTCCGTTTTCAAAACCCTTCAGAAAGTCATCATTTCATTTAACGGTCATTTATAGCCGCATAAAGTAATCTTTAGGCACTACTCTAATTTGACAGGTGACCTTCATTGACGCCCAAGTATTTCAGTCAGGCCTGCAGCCTTGTAAACAGAGCCCAGATTGTGCGGTGTTATACAACTGTCTTTTGTTCACGAACCTGGCTCAGTGCACTGTTGACCTCTTTTCAATAGGGGCCAGATTAGCGTGCAGCAGTGCTGTGTGGCTCACCACTGCGGTGGTGGAGCGCTTTTGTTCCCAATGGTAATCCGCTAGCTCTCAATGCCCCAAACCCTGGTATACAGTTTCAAAACAAGGCTGGAATACCGCCACTTTTGAGAGTGAAAAATGTCTGTAATGCCCAACAGCCTGGTCTTTTGTTCGGAGTACAGTCTTTTGTTACAGGACCCTGTTTCCTTTGTCCGAGTTCGGAGACCCCGGCCACGCATATAAACCATACATGTACGTCTCCAAAAAAAGAGCTGTTTCGCCGAAGCCCTGAAACAGCTAGTAAATTGACTTCTCCACTTGTACCTGAGAGGGGTTAGAACCCAGTACAAGAAATAAGGTAACAGGGCATGTGGTGGCACAAGAAACTTCTACATTAGATATTTTATTTACAAATTTGTACAACGCTGAACAGCGTATGTGAATTGTATACAATAAAAAAGGACAGTCAACGATATGGACCTGTAATAGATACACCAGGCCTCGAATTTCGTTTTTTTAAGGCACTGCCATTTGGCATTGGTGGACTGGCTGAAATAAAATGCAGTTAATGCCATCAGTGTACCAAAGTTATAGGCATTAATGCCATTCTGACTTTTTTTTATATTGCTTGAAAATGATTAAGGTCTAAGAAAAAGTAGAATAAGCATTATACCTGAACATGTCCGTGACAAGTGCCGAACCAGCAGCCGAGTGTTGAAAGGCTTCTGGCTGTTTTGACTGCAGCCATTCTAAAATTCTAAATGAGCACTTGTTCTAGATTAACATTATTGCATGGTACATTAACATACGTGTACTTAGCTTGGGCATGCGCTGTTACGTTAGGTTGTTGGATAGGCCGGCGGGGGTCGCCTGTGCCGCCCTTGCGATCGTGCAGTGTGCATGGAGCTGGCTGGGCCGCGGGTGTGTGGTGGGCTGAGCGTACGATATTCCCACGTACACACATGCTATGCATATGCATGCATGCCAGGCATTTGGGTGGCACAGCACGGTGTTCCGGTCGAATGTGAGCAATCAAGGAACGATGTGTATGCCGCTTTCCATGTACCTGGCTGAACAGGGGCAGTTGATATGCACGTATAGGGCACTACGGCCAAGAGAAAAAAGGGCACTGCCATCTTGGTGGTGAAACACGATCACTTTTCGGGGACACCACAGGCAAATGGGAGGGCACCAACGGCCATGGCTGTCATGGCCTTTGGGAAATTTGAGGCCTGGTACACTCAAGAAACGAAATTAATTATTAGATAAGCTTAAGCAAATATTGTGCATTTACATTTTACCATTAATTTGAGTTCATTTTACAACCGTGTTCACAGAGTTTAATATATCCTCTAAGATACCAACAGGTTATGTCACATATTGATAGAAATAATCAGAATGTTTGTAGGATATGGCAATTTAGCAACTCAGCGATAATGTTAATGGTTTAGAAGCAATGCACGATAACTGATCTTATCAAATATGTGTCTAATAAGCGTAAGTTTAGATTAACCCACAAGTTGTACTTTCCAGAATATTATTCTCATTCTCAGATTTTATGAAAAATAGTACACACAGTGTACTGTTTTAGTGTACTACATACTGGTACATGTAGTATGCAAAACTGCTACACCTTAAGTATGTATTGTAGTGTGAGGCACCCAAAGGACGGCTGTAAAATACAAGAAAAAATTTATGAAAATATGTACAGATGAGTAGTGGGCATATGCAGAACTGACAAAGTTTGAAAGCACAAATTTACTCATAAGGAACCCTCTACTATCCACTTTCTATGGTCCCAAGAACACTTAATTTGATTTGTCTACTTTCTATAGACTCAAGAACACTTCATTTAATATCGGGGGTTCTTCATCTTTAACCCCTTCGCACTGGGACGCGGGTAGAGCCGCCGTAAAAATTGAGATCCTCAGCCCGCTTTTCAGCTATTATTCTCGGCCCACGCTCGAGCAAACATGGTGAAAGAAGGCAGACCCTGGCTCTTGTATATATGGTGATTAGCCCAGAAATAAAAAGACCAAATTTGAATCATAATCACCTGCTTCACAATAGTCCCCACTTTAAAAAAAGAGGCAACGGGAATGTGGAAGGGTGAGTAGAGCCGCATGCCACCGAACAATCAGCCTTTTCACTGTGTAATTCAAAGCGTGCAGAGCACGCAGGGCCACAAACCGAGAATTTGCAGTTTGGCAGGTGGCCTTCGTGGCCAAGCGAGGCTGGAATTCTCGGAGTCGGCTTTCAGGAAGAAATTCCTGGCACGAAGGGGTTAATCTCTGATCAACAATAATAAGTTTTGGAAACATTAATATCACTCTCAAAAGTACATGTATCTGTAAAATAAAATTCACCCAACACAGACATGGAAAATGCCAATACTGGTCATATGCCATCTAGAACTTTGTAAATGGAACTCACCATGCAGCGTCCCTCAACCTGTGCCAATCACCAGTGCAATATGCAAGAAGGCAATGATTGCAAAGTTTCATACAAATGTAATGATGTGAGCAGTAGCAACAAAGTAACTTAATGCTCAGGCAAGGAGATTCTGAAACAGGTTTCGGGAATGTATTCTTGATATGCACAGCCGAGTTGTCCAAGATCGGACAAAGGGAAGTGGACCTTGTAACAAAAGACCGTACTTGTAACAAATGACCAGGCTGCTAGGAATTAGAGCTACATGTATATATGCAATCACACGTATGAAGCCAAACCACGGTTCACAACCATGCACAATGCATGACATTTATGATGCTCAACCAACCATAAAAACTTCACATGTGAAAATAGGCTCCTGTAACATTCAGGCTTTATTTTCCTGAAAAAAATCTCCCTGTCCACAATTTTGACCCAGGATTTTGTCCCACACCCCATTCATCACATACAAATTCACACAAGTTGCAGTGTTTTTACTGTTGATATACTGATGAACGGCTGCAACGCGAGTCTAATACACATGAGACATGCGCAATACAAACACAACCACCATGGTTTGACTTCATATGTATGATTGCATTACCAACATTTTTTCACTCTCAATAGCAGAGATAATCTAGCATTTTTTTGAAACAGTATACCACTGTTTTGGGCATTCGGTGCGAGCAGATTACTACTGGGGACAAAAGTGCTCCATCACCACAGTGATGAGCCACATAGTACCGCTGCATGCTAATCTGGCCTTTATTGTGCCAGTTTTTGGAACAAAAGAAAATTACGTAACGCCACACAATCTGGGCTCTTTTTACAAGGTGGTAAGCCTGGATGAAATATTCCAGCATCAATAGATGTGTCTGTCAGATAAGAATAGAACCAGAGAGTCCTTTATGTGGATGTAAGTGTCCAATAAATGAAGATATGAATTTTTTTAGAATTTTGAAAACAGAAAACATTTAAAAATACTCCGGCCCAGCAGAATCAACATTTATAAATCCCCCCAGCAGGAAGTGGTTAAGGGGCCATTCACAATTATTAACATTCTCACAAGTGTACAAAGTGTACTTTTTTTTACTCTCCGCTCTCCCTGAAGTGTACAAAGTCAATGTTGATTTTTTCTGCACAATTTTACAGAGGTAAGTACTGTTGAGGTACTATGAAGCTGGTTTCAGCTTCATAGTATCTCAATGCGACACGTATGCAATTCATTTTGTGTTCTGCAGGCAAAGCACATGGTGCATGCAATGCTGGCGCACACAGTATGGCAGACCCAAAACAGACCTCTAGTGCTGCCAGTAGGTGCCAAGGTTCAGTTCGGAATTTTTTTGCCAAACTTAAGTTCACTTCGGGTTCAGACATGTACACACATGAAGGTACTGTTGTACGATGTACTTTGATAAAATATGAACGTGCCATAGTACATGCACTTCCGTGTATAATACAAACGGTGAATCTTGAAGTTTGTTTAGGAGTTACAATTCCATAGAAAGCTTTGTCAGGGGTGCTTCCAGACAGTTTCTGACCGTGTTTTGCCAACCAAAAGTGGTTGTGTTTGGACCATTACACTTGACTCAACAAAATGGGGAAAACCAAAAAAATAGCATGCTCAAATGGGAGTTTCTTTCTTTACAGGATACAAGATCCAATCAGATTTCAAGCAAATTCTGTTTTGTTACAGTTTGAATAGTGCCCCAATAAGTAAACAATGACAGAAATGAACTTCCATTTTCCTTTTGAAATTCTATGTAATGTGTTATTTTATAACACTTGCTTTTCTCATGTACATCCGACACCAAAATGACAACATTTTGTAAAAGTACCAAATAGGCTTCATTTTTGTTTTTTACTAATTTGCATAAATTTGACTATTTGGACATACACATCCTCATAAGGTTATAATTAGGGCCCAAAGCCATTCCACATGTGTCATATGTGGACAAAAATGTGCTTTGCATGTATTCAGAAAGTAAGCCATGTCAGTGTGAGCTTTGATGAAGACAAGTAAAGTTCTAGGTGTTGTATACATGTACATGTAATCCACATCAAGAAAGAAGTATTGTCAGACTAAACAAAGGTGTGGTTTTTTATACCTTTGTTCAAGGTACATGTAAAATCAATTGGTTTCACTTTGTGTTGCTTGAGGAATTAAAGCTTTACATGGCATATACATGTACAGTAACAATCATGAAACATACAATGTAAGACTGTAGTTTTAAAAGCATTATGCCATCAGTCTTCAATTTCAGTGAAAAAGATAATCTCTCAGCCTAATTGCTAGCCCATTCCTTTGATTTTTGCAATCATCTAAAAGGGGATATACATCTACTCATTTAGCTTCTTTTTCTTCTTTTACATGTGAACTATAACCTGTGAAGTGTGAACTGGAAATCTTTAAAATTGCAGCTTAGTACACAAGTAGCATTTGTCATACAAAAATGTTTAATTTCATGTTCTAAAACCAAAAGATCTTACAGGTACATGTATGCAATTGTCTTTTAATTTGATTTATTTATCTAAATGATTGTCAACTGTGGAAAACTTTTTTTCGTTTGAATGTTTGACATTACATGACTTGTTTAAATGAGCAAAATTGCATAAATATTTCTAGACAGTATTTTCCTTCACACTGTTTCACTGAATGCCCCATCATCCAATTCCTTTCTAGTTGCTTTTGATGATTTTTGTATGGCTTGGCATTTTCTTTTGGTTTGGAAAGTTTACTAAAGCCTTCATGAAGGTAGAAAAATGAGACAAACTTGGGTTTGAACTGATGACCTTCTATTCTGAAAAGTCAGTTTGGACGTGTACGTCTGACACCAAAAAATGTACGTCTGACACCAATATAATAAATCGTTTATCTGAAAGTCACAAGAAGATAAAAATGTGTCTTGCCTTGAAGTTTATTAACAAGGGTCTGCTAAAACTTAACACAGAAAAACTACTTCTTCAGGTCCTAGCATTTCACAGAGTTTGTGATACAAAAATGGAAACTCAAAAAAATTAACTTTCTCTGAGTACGTCCGACACCATGGTGTTAGGAGTCAGTTTCTACAAGGATAATAATTCTGAGTGAGAAATTTTGTTATTAAATGAATGTACCAACTAGCCGATGTCTTTTATCAAAATCAAAATCTGCTTCAGCATTATAAGTATAATAACACACATTGTTGAAGTGTCCAAAATGTACGTCCGACACCGTGGAACTGCCCATCCATCTGATCTGTGTGATGCAGGGCCATCATCAGTTAACTGTACACGTGCATGTACCTTTACAGTGTGTGGAAACAGCACATGTGACAAGCACCAGTGTGGCATTACTCTTTATCCATATTTCATTATGTTTGCATTTTTATCAAGTTTTCGTGCATGCATTCCAGGTACTATTAATGCCATGCTGTATTAAAGCTGAACATCCGAACTGACCAAGTAGGTTCTGTTCAGTTTGGTTCAAAAGTGCCGTGTTTGATGATTTTTGGTTGGGCTGCAGCACTAACAGCAGGAATGCCGCAAATTGGAAACGAATCGACATTTTTTGAATTTCTGAGAGTGTACGGCGGGTATTTACCCCTACCCCCAGCATATGCTTTGTACACTTGTGAAAATGTTGTTAATTGGGAATGACCCTAAGACAATGACTGGCACAAGACGGTACTTGGCAAATAAAAATGTACTTAATTGAGGTTGCATGTGACTTGGATAGATTTATGTTATGTGTCATGGAAATGGCATTTGTGTTGATAATACTCAACTTTTCTTACATGTGGTGGCCTACATGTACATATATTGTGATGATATTTGCAGCTCTGCGCTGTGCATTGAGCACCTTCCTCACTGAGCCTCCTATCAGCCGGAGAGTGGATATCCACAGGGATCATACATTTGCTAAAGCCAACCAGGCACTTACAGACTCCATTACGGCTCAATCACAAGACAACTCATCCAACAAGAAGATGGTGGCAGGTCAGCTAGGGATCAGCAGACGAGATCTTGTCAAGTTACTCAAGTCAGGCCTAGTATGTCTGAGTAATCCTCTGGGTCTGCTGCGATTAGTCTGGCTTTTTATGCAGCCCTTCATTGGCAGAGCTGAAGGCAAGATAAAGGTAATTAACATCAAAATACAGTACTTAAATATATGTGTGATATAGCAGGACTCTAACCTACCAGAGGTCATGCTTAAAAATTTTTTTTGCACTTCAATGGATTTGATAATTTTGAAATAAGAACGGAGTTTAGTAACAAAATATAGAGGATGTTACCAATCAAATGGATGAATTTTTTCTGCAAGTGCAGGTTCAGAATGATATCCTTAAATTGTATGTAAAATGATGACATCACAGATCTTAACATGCGTTTTCAACATGGAAACTAAATATATGTTTGTTTTTCTTTGTTTTGCTCTATATCATTGAAATTGTTAGAGGAACTCCTTTGGAGGAACACCCAAAATGCCGTTTTTCTTTGAATTTTCTGTTTGAAATCTTTATTCCCATAGAAACCACCATTGTTGTGATGTGTACCTAATGTACCTTTGTGCATTTGTTCAATTTTCAGTCTCTGGATCTTGATCTGCTTCAGAAAAAGGATGTGATAAACAAACTTGCCGAGTCAGGTCTGCCATACTATGAGATCAATTCTCCAGTCTTAGGGTTGAGTGGTGGACACGAACTAAAGATCTATGCAACCGGCAATCGTTTCTATTGCCCACATGATGCCATCAGCAAATACATCTCTAAACTCAATCCCGAGTGCCCCGAATTCCTGCAGCAGCCAAGGTATTCTTGCTTTCTTTACGACAATTATGTGAACTCATTGTGGGCCCTATCTCATTCACTCTCCAGGTCTTACTTGCCAAAGACTCCTGCCCACAGTCTGTTTCTACATGTAACTAGGCTGTATAGTGATGGCAGGAATGTTCATGAAATATTAATCACTTGCCGCCAGGGATTCTGGTTTTGGGCACGTGTTCTTTATACATGCGTAGCTGGAGCCTCCAAAATGGGCCTTGTAACAAAAGACTGTACTCGTAACAAAAGACCAGGCTGCTGGGAATTACCAAAAATTTTTCACTATGAATAATGGAGATAATTCGGCATTTTTGTAAACAGTATACCACAGTATTCATCGGGAGCAGATTACCACCAGGGACAAAATGGCTCCACCACTGCAGCGATGAGCCACACTAATGCACGCTAATCTGGCCCCTATTGAAAAGAGGTCAGTTTCGTGAACAAAAGAAAATTACTTAACACCGAACAATCTGGGCTCTTTTTACAAGGTGGCAGGCCTGGCTGAAATACTCCAGGTCAATAGATATTGTCTGTCAGAAACCAAACTGTCCTTCGTGCGGGTGTAAAGTGTCTAGTAAATGAAGATACAAATTTTCAAAGAATTTTGAAAACAGAAAAAATGAAAATTATCCCGTCCCATCATCATCAACATTCATAAATGCCCTCGGTGCGATGTGGTTAAGGACAAGTGTTGTGATCTCTCTGGAATTTGAAAGCAGTACACATCATTGGCTTGAACTGATGGCTGCACATGATCTTCTGAAATGTCAGTAGTTTTCAAAATGTCTGTAGTTAAGCAGTTTTCTTTGTATCATGTTGTAAATATGCAAACCCATTGTAGAGTTTTGTCTTTATGGGCAGATCCAGCTCTCATGAAGAAAAGGGTGGCTTGCATTGCCCAAAGTGGAGTTAGAATTCAAATGTACCAACATGGAATACAATTGCTCAATAGGATAACAATTTAAGATTCATTGTAACTAGGACAAAGACAAGTCAGACTGCCATGAATTTAAAAGAAAAAAGACAGAGCTGTTCCTGACTGCTGGAACAGCTAATTACTGTGGCAGAGGCCTCTTAATCAACTATATATTGTCAGTGCAATTACCAGGTTTCTTGGTAATAATATTTCTGCTTTCTTAAAGTACTTAACAAATTGTAATATGTATCATTTTTAATTTCCTTGAAGAATTAGGAGCAACTTCAAGATGGAGATGATATGGTTCGATCCTAGGCCAATGAATTCCAGCTCCATTAATACAATGATGACTGACATTGGTGCTGCTGCCAAGTTGAGTAGACAATACAACAATGCAGATATCAGAGCTACTTCGTGGGACAGCTTACAAGAAGCTATTCAAGACTTCACTGAAAACCTCAGGATGGGTTACTGGAGAAAACCTCCACCATCACAAGTAAAGAAGACACCAGTAGTCACGACAACAACCACAACTGCTACAGGAGGAGCAGAGGGTAAACTTGTGGGCCAACAAATAGCCCATGGCAAGGTCAACAAGCCTTTCAGCCAACAACCTGCTGTTTGTGTAAGCAATTTTGCAAGCCCCATACTCAGTCTCACATTTGCTGTACTGAAGTAACTTGATCTTTTTTAGTTTTGATAAGGACATGGAGTATGTCTTGCTTAGGCTTATACAGCCCGTTACCACTTGATCCACCAATTGGGGGATCTGATCCACCTTTTGCCAAATTGCCGGATCAGATCCCCCAGTTGGTGGATCAGATCCGGCAATTGTGTGTAGTGGGAACGCTAACCGTTACAAGGTGGATCAGGATCAGATCCACCTTTCTTGATCCTCCTCTGGAGCAGGATACTGATCCCCCAATTGGTGGATCAGATCCCCCAATTGGTGGATCAGATCCCCCAATTGGTGGATCAGATCCTGCAAGTGGCGGATCACCATCAGATGGGAACACAAAAGGTGGATCAGATCCTGCAATTGCACGAGTGGCGTGGAACGTTTGCGGTCTGATGAACAAAGAAATACGTTTCTTGGCGTGTAGCTCGTGAAATTTTTAATGTGCATAGCATGCATAATAAACAACTGCTGAACTACGGGCTAGCAAAATGTGTCACCCTGCATACGCAATGCATGCATGCCGCAATGTGTGCCTTGCCCTTTCACAATTTTCATTGCGCATTCATCCGTTTTTAACCTTTTTCATTTGTGTAATTTCACTTGCTTTCCATCAAAAACTAATTGCGTGTTAGCGTATAGCCCGCAGCATGTGACAGAGTATCAAAAACGGAAGCAAAGTTTGAACAGACAACGTACTAGGCTGAACATTCGGCCCGATTCAAGGTCGTCACTTCAGTAGAACTTCGCACCCAAAACACCGCAGGGTCACAGGCATGCCACCCCAGCACGCCACACTGCCACAGTATTGTACTCGGCAAGCTAGCACATGCGCTATACCGAACTCAGTGACCTTTCGGGCTCGACATTTCTGTCCGAAAAGGTAGATGAAGCACTAGTGGGAACGCGACTTGCCGTTTCGTTGCGGTAAGATAACAATCACACCAAAATGCTGGATCAAGATCCACCTTTTCCCAATTCAAGTGGGAACGTGCTGTGAGAGTGCCTGATGACACATCATCACTGATGTGCAATCAGTGTTATAGTTCAGCCCCTTTGCAAGTCCCAATGATTTGAAACATGAGAAGAGACAGCTAGCCAGCCAGTTAAGAGAAGAGCCCCAAGCTAACCAATTACAAATCAGTTTTCTGTTATTCATATCCACTCTGAGCAGGAACAGAAGAGGGCATGTTTTGAAATGAAATTGACAGTCCTTTGGTACTCACCCATCGCATACATGTAGGTGTGCAAGTTTATGCGCGTTTAACACGGAGGATGTTGAGTACGCTAAACAATTTTATTCTAGAATGTGTTGTCTTCGCATGCACGCTGAACACCTCCTAGGACCTGGTCGGAAAACTTAGTACCATCTGTCTGTCTTTTGCCAGTGAGGGTGCACTTCAGCTCAGTGCGGATATGATAAATAAATTAACAGCATGTGCAAGGGTTTGTGTTGAATAAGTGGACACAAGTAAGACTACAGTGTAATACCAAAAGCACTATTTAAAAGTGTTTGTGCGTGGTGGCTAAAATAACTTTCTGTTGACATGAGTTGATGACAGATATTAATTAATATTGGACACAAAGAGACAGACTCAATCAAAATATTTGACCCAACATGGTAACACATGTTTCAAATTTTGAAAATATATTCATGTTTGTGTCATTAATGGTGCTTGTTGAAATATAAGAAAGAAAGCAAGCTCTCAAGTTTCTGAAAGTGTTGATGTAAGCTTGAGCAGAGTGCTGCTGTTATAGAGATTGCTGTGTGGCAGAGAAAATGGAAGCATTAAACAGTGAGAACTAACTTACGCATATCATATTTATTTTTATGACACTTACATGTATGTTCGTGTACTGTGCAGTATTGTTCAGAAAAAATAGAGTATCTTGTTGATGTTGGCATAAAAGCATTTGTCACCATTATGACATTTTACTGAAATGGTAGAGGATTATATTGTAATAGTCTTGAATGTGCTTACTCTTTAAGTCTCAAAACCACTGTGGGAGTGAAATCAAAAACTGGGGTGCATGGAGAACTGTGTGTCTGGTATTCAATTCACTTGTGATGTGGACTTGAATCCCACACAGTTACCAGTGCCAAGATGTTTGCATGCCATGGGGAGCTGCCTTTCTCTACCAAGAGGTGTCTTTGAGATTAAAGATAAATTTGTGCTCATCTTAAGTTGTTGCAGAAGTAGATCTTGTTGCCCAGTGAGTCGTGATAAATGTGAAGCACTAGATGCTTTTGTGAGCACTAATTATTATAAAAGCTGCATTTTTCCCACTGTGTTCCCACTGATTTTTCAGGTAAAGCCTAACATTCAACAAGGTAATGCAAACAAGGTGGTGAGAAATCTTTACAAGGAATCTGCATCCTCCAAACAGGTAGGTGTCATATAGCCTCAGTAGTCTAGTACATTGTAAAACAATTGGATTTTCAGTAGCACAACTTTGATTTAACATTTATGAAGCTACATACATCTATTTACATTTTCAAGGACCCTTCTTTAGACAAATATGTACACTGTTCTAAAACTAAAAACTAGTTACAATAATTTGACAAAAGTGGGTTTGATGCTCCTTCAGTAGTAACTTTTGGATTCTGTGGGCATTCGGGTCCACCGTACGGCATTTTTTCTTTGATAGAGAAGACATCTCCCAGCCTATGGCATTCTGACCAGGGGGTAACGTCCTGCACAAGGTGTGGCCTCCACACTTCACCCATCCAGCTCCCCTTTACCTGTCTGTCACAGAGGAACCCTATTACTGAATGATTATAAATAACCGCATATACTGAATGCCTGATGCAGAATATTGCTTTAGTCTTTATGCAAATTATCGCACTAACACAAGTCTTAATTATGAAATAATTCCTTTCTACACTGAATTATAATATTGATCTTAATTGTTTAATTCACTTCATAAATGATTTATTTTTAACCAAATTATACATTCATAACACAAGTCTCTGATGATCCTGGTTTTGGGGCCAATCTTTCATGATTGACAACATTAATCAAGCTCTCAGTAGCTCGGCCTTTATTTTGGTGCTCATTTAATTCTCTCTGTAGCAGGCAAATTTTCTCTAACTTGAGACTGGTAGGAATTGCCCTCTCTTCATACTAGTACCTGTACATGTACCTTCCTCCTTGTGACAGACCAGACTGTCTCAGGAGAGAAATATCTTGCGAAAAAGATCCCGTGACCAATAGATCTATTGTTTTCCACACCTAAGTAACTTTCAAGAAAAGCCAATTATTAGCCTGAAATGGATTAGCCAATCAGATCCATCCTTTCTGCCTGTGCAATTCATTTTAATTTACATAATAAAAGCAAGAGGGAATTGCCACACTCCTGGACATACACAAACGCAGACTAGTTACTCGATGATTGGCCTTAGAAGGAATACAGAATACAGACGCCTAACAAATATGCACAACAAAAGAGGAGCATTCTCCAAACAGTAGGTAGAAAAGTACCTGGTTTTGTCTCAAGTAGTCGCTGTTCTAGAGCACCAGTTGAACGCAACTCAAATTCGTTTTTTTTTTGGGGGGGGAGATTGATATCTGACTGAGAAAGAATGAAAGTCCTATCACACTCAGAATTGAATATTTAAAAAAAAACAAAGGCAAGAATCTTTGTGACGATTGAAACTTTATTATATTAAATTAAAATATTTTGAATTATAAGTTAATGGGAAAAATGACATTCAGCACATATAGTCATAATGACCACATGTGCCTTGTCCAATGTGTGCTAGCCTTACCTAGTGTGGAGCCCAGATCAAAAGAAATCCACAAATGTAGGGTTAGAAAATGTGTGGACTTGTAGGTCTGCACAATGTTCCCCCTCTGAAAAGCACTTTCAGTTGTAGTTTAGGGTCCGCTGTCACAAGTCCTCCTAAGAGGCCTTGGAAATGGTACCTTTGATCGAAAAATCTGAAAAGAACGACTCAGAGAAAATATAGGACCAAACACGATGAAATATAGTTCAACACATTTAATATATGAATCCCCCTTTAAATACCACTAATTACACAGTTCATCTTAACCACTTCCTGCCGGTTACTCCAGGATCAGAGACATATGGTTTATATGGGTGGCCGGGGTCTCTGAATTCGGACAAAGGAAACAGGGCCCTGTAACAAAAGACCGTGCTCCAAACAAAAGACCAGGCTGCTGGGCATTGCCGACATTTTTCACTCTCAAAAGTGGTGATAATCCAGCCTTGTTTTGAAACCGTATACCAGGGTTTGGGGCATTGAGAGCAAGCAGATTACCACCGGGGACAAAAGCTCTCCACCACCACCACCACCACCGCAGCGATGAGCCACACAGCACCGCTGCACGCTAATCTGGCCCCTATTGAAAAGAGGTCAGCAGTGCACTAAGCCAGGTTCATGAACAAAAGACAATTATACAACACCGCACAATCTGGGCTCTGTTTAAAAGGCTGCTGGCGTGGCTGAAATACTCGGGTGTCAATGAAGGTCAACTTAGAGTAGCGCCAAAAGATTACTTGGTGTGAAATGATGAATTTTTGAAGGATTTGAAAATGGAAGAAATGATAGTCATGCCAGCCTAGCATCATCAACATTGAAAAATTCCCCCGCATGAAGTGGTTAAATACATTCAAAGCAAACCTCGTGGAGAACATATCAGAATTAAAAGATACTGATGGGCACTTGTGGTCTTTGGTCCGGATCTCGGTTTGAGGTGGGTCCTGCCATCATCCCCAGGGCTAGGTGTCATCTTGGCACGGCACATCAGTGGGGGAATGTCTACCCATCAACCAAGACCCCAGTCCAAGATCAAAAGCCCTATTTGTAATACAAAATCCATTTCGATTAAATTCAGTGATTACTTTCAAACGATTTCTGACCAATCACTTTCCCTACATTTCCAACGTTTTGGATTATCGCTTGAATAATTTACCACAGTGTTTATTTCATAAAGATCTCCTAAAACATTACGATGTTTTGTTCGAGCTTTTAATCAAACAATTGCTTTAACAAATAAACATAATTTATTTCATCATGGACCTGTGAACTACAACGTTCTTTCCAATAATAGATTAACAAAACTTCACAGAATTTTGTTGCAGTTTTTTATACAAAAGAAAATACTTACAGGCTATATCAGGTAACCTGGCATGGCTGTTAAGTTTGAAGATGTGGGCGACAAGGTGACAAGACTTCTAGACTGCTGGTATTCTCACTGGCATCTTGGTGCTCTCAAGCTCCCCAATACGACGCAGTATTTGCGACAATCATGAACCCGATCCCCGGCCAAACGCATCGGTCCAACCTGGGGGATGAACGGGTTAGACGGGCCTCTTATGCCCCGATGTAGTGCCAGCAGTCAATCTCGCCACCAAGTGCCGAGCCGATGCATTGTCCCAAATTCCTTAAAACCTTACCAACTAAACTGGAACTCGACTATTGACTACTGACCAGAGTCCAGTCCATACTTTTCAACCATTCACTAACTACTTGATATAAAGTCACAGGCACTGGCCTCGGCATTTCGTCTGCCAGTGAATACCTTTAACCATTCAGTTCAATTGAACCACAACGTTCCGGAATTTAGCACAATTTTAAGTTAACAAAACACGGCACATTTCTATAATAAAACAAAAATCTCTTAAATGAAATCAAACTGTGACATCCGGTTTATTTTTGACAAAGTGAAGAGGAACTGTCAAGGAAAGCATCAAAATCCAGCTAAAAGGAAAGCATTTTCTTAACCACAGGAACACAAAGGAATATCACCACAGGTAATCAGACCTGCCCACTAGTATGATTTTGCTGTTCTTTTATTGGAATTGTTGAAAATATGATCCTACCTTTTTTTATAATAATACTATGGGTTATGACCATTTTTTCCTCACCTGAAGTATAACTGTTGACTTTGAGTTCAATGGCTGTGGAGGTAGATTGTGCTAGATACAAAATAGTAGCGAGTGTAGACTTCTGCCAAACAGAGATTGACACTACTTTACATCCTGGTACATGTAGTAATCACAGGCTTTTGAGTCACTTCTCAACCAAAATTCCCAGTGTCTAGTGCAAAAAAAGAGAGAAAGGAATTCCCTACTCTACATTGCTGGGCCAGTCATGTGACGTGTGATATTGAAGGCAAGCTCTTCTGCACATGCCCAGGCTGGGGCGGATAAAAAGGTCCACAGGAGCAGACACAGACATGAATCGATATTGCGGCGGGTGGCGATCACCTCAACTGGCTTGTATTGGCCAGTCTTCAGTATAATAGAGGAATATTATTCAAGGAATTACTCATTCTTACCTTCTTCAAATTCAACCTCACATTGCACTTTTTGATCTACAGTCTACAGTGAACCCCTGGTTAGAAATCTCTGAATCCCCCTGTCCCCATGCTTAGAACACCCTTTTCATTATCGTCTCAGCCAATAACAAGAATTAAAAAGTACCTCGTACGCGCGAATGGGGCCTCTGGTCCCAGAATATATTTTCCCCTGGAGTTGGCATTGATCAAGGGCGTCTTCAACTGTGATCTTTGACTTCATTGGCCCAGCATGGAATGCGTAATGTTGGTCTGAATATACATAAGCACAAATGTAGTGAGAGTTTAGTTTTGTAATGTGGCTAAAATACCATATCTAGCAGTTTATTGATTTTGAATTCTCCCCATCATGTGATGCGGGACCATCTTAAATTGACTACATGTACGTGCACGTGTGCATTCCCGAGCTAGCGCGGGTATAACTTATCCAGTTTCCTTTGTCTGTGTGTTTTTCTCAACTTTTCTTGTAATTGCATGCATTTTGTTTGCTATCAATGCCATGCCATATCAAATCCAAACCTAACAGTGTCATTCCATCAATCAATCAACATTTATTTCCAAAATGCCGAAAGATTCCAATACAATACAACAGAATAAATTAAATTTACATGTAGTTAATATTATACACGTCAATAGATTGGAGACAAGAATCAACAAAGTCATTGGCAAATATGGGGACAGCTTCCGAAGCCAAGGGCTGATATGTGGAGATGCCTTGACAAAAACTATTTGAGTGCTCACACTTCATACACCAGTTTTAACCGAGAAACTGCATTTTAACCAAGTGGAAATTCATAGTGTCAGAAGATTAAATCAAAATACATGTATGTTTACCTGTATGGACACATTTATAACCATGTTCATTTGGGCAGTCTTTACCTGTCTTTAAAATTACCCTGTACAATAAATGTACCAATCAGAGACAAACCAACTGTTGAGCTGGACAAAAGCAGCTCTGTGCTCTTTCTGTATTGATAAACAACTTATTTAAACACCACACTTTACATAGCACCATTACACCTCTATAGTAAGGAATGGCTGACACAAATTATACAGATTTAAAGGAGCTTAATTCTTCTGAATGCCTCAGTATACCATACATGTGAATGAAGAAATTTTTTTCTTCAAAATTGTGATTTGTTAGAACCATTCCAAATGCAACAAAATTCTAAGTGATTTACACTTAACATTTGAGAGTAGTGCTATCTTAAAGTAGATTTAATCATTTAATTTTGCACCAGTAGTTCCTCAGTGTGAAAAACCAAAATTTGTATTTTTCAACAAAAAAATAAACTGTAAAACTGAATTTGAGGTATGTGGTTTATTTGGTGATTCAAGATAAAAAAGTGTTCCATCTTGGTGATTTCCATTGGTCATTACTTTCATTGTTTGGTCATAATCCCTTACACTACAGTGTGTTCAACGTGCCATGTGACTTACAATTCCATTACAGAAACAACTCACCTCTGTTTACCTACATTTGCATATCAGCACACATGCGCAAGGAAAATCACTAAAACTCGCACCCTTCGCACAAGACATGTCTCCTACAAAGAGCTGTGTAACACAAAGACTCGTCATTTTTTTTGGGGCATGTGCTGTAGCTCTACACAGTTACACTTATCCAGATCTGTAAGCTCAAGCCATGCACTGGGTAAATCACCCGGACCCTCCAAGCCCAATCAGTGACACAAGCATTATATTTCCATCCTAATGACTGAGACTACTCTGCCAGGTTCATTAGTTGGAAATACCCTGGGGACAGTTCATCAGGACCTGCACTGCACCTTATGGAATCCTGCATGCCTTCGGTAGCCTGTGAGAACACATGCAAGTAGTAGAATCCAACACCCCTATGCATGCAGGATGGCAAGGTCTGGTATTTGATGCCGTGAGGTCAACCAACAGTCTGACCAACCTACCCAGTCACAGAGGCACCAAGTGGTGACTCCATTCTCAATCTGTGATTGCTCAACTAATACACCAAGCTGAAACACTTCCAGATGAAGACAGTTTCAGCTGTTAACAACAAGTTTCAGTCTTAACAACAGGTTGGTAGGCAACCTTGATTGACCTGAAGGATGTCTATCTTCATGTTCCCATCCATTAAGATCATCAAAAGTTCCCTCAGTGTATATATCAGGAAACTGCAAACCAGTTTTGTTGCCTACAGTTGGATTTTCCACTGCCCCTGAGGTCTTCACCAGAATCACCAAGGTGGTTGTAGTATTGCGGGTCCACCTCTTCATGACTCTGGACGACTGGCTTAGTTTTGGCCCTTCTGTCCAGGACACAATCAAAGCACTCCAACAAACAATCCAAATAACACTTGAACTGGGCTTTATCAATACAAAAAAGTCCTCCCCGACCCCTTCTTAACATCTAACCTACCTTGGAGTGGTTCTCAACTTGACCAGGGGCAGAGCAACTCCAAGTTTGGATCGTTGCCAAACTCTATAGGAATTGTGTCCAAGTTTCTTCAATCCTGCCAGCCAAGATATGGCTCCAACTCCTTGGTGTCATGGCAGCCTTGATAGATTTAGTTCCCTGGTACAGGATGCGGTTGTGTCCCCTGCAGCTGTATAACTCCCTGGATCCAGTCTCAAAAGGGATTCCGTTCAACCAGCTCATCCAAGATCAACTTCAGTGGTGGTTATCACAGAATAACCTGCTGCACAGAGTCATAATTCCCCACCCCTTTTTGTCAATTAATTTTCACAACAGATGCCTTGGAACAGGGCTGGGGAGCTCACATGGAAGACCAATTTATTTCCGGCACTTGGTCCACAGAACAGAGTCAACTACAAATCAATCATTTAGAACTGCTCGCAGTAGCCAACGCTTTGCAGTCTTTCAGTTTCAGGATCTGAAACAATCTAGTCCTAATCTGAACGGACAACTCTACAGTTGATGTCTTACATCAACCATCAAGGCAGAACCTACTCTCTGTCCTTTTTCCTTGCCATCTGGAAATTTCTTCGTTGGTGTGTTCCTTGGCAGATCTCTGATCTGGCCACTTGTCTAATAGAAAAGAAGAATTCATTCTCTGATGCCCTGTCCAGAGGCCAAATCACTCCAACAGAATGGTCCCTTCATTCAGTGGTTGTCAAACATGTCTCCAACATTCTTGGAATGCCACATGTGGACCTGTACATGTTTACATCCCACTTGAATCACCAGCTTCAAACCTTTCACTTACAACACACTTAACCCCTGGTTCTGAAGGTGGATGCCAGACTTGCTTACTCAAGTCATGTGACTTGGACTTGAGTTGCTGTTTTTGTGACTTGACTTGTAAACACCAGCTGTGACTTGACTTGGACTTTCAAGAAATGACTTGTTACCAACCCAAGTCAGGCGCTACTCGATCAGCCCCATACATTTTTGATTAAGCTATTCAGTTTACGCCTTACGTGCTTAAAAAAATGACCATGGTTTGTGCAGCTTCTACTTCACCTGACTGCAGCTGTAGATCAGGGCAGCATGCATATGCTGCTACGTTATGTTGACGCATGACTAGGCTAAACTTCGCCCTCAGTATGTCATCATTTCATCTCTATGCTTATTTCCATCCTGCAAAGTACATTTATTAAATTAAACAGAGGGCCGTCATGCATCAGTATGATAAACTGCAAGAATATTGACAACACAAGTGAAAAGGGGGAATTTCGGAGGCATTGTCAAAAAGTTGGAGAGAAGGTGTTCAACTGCCTGCCTGGTTCTTTTTGCTTATTACAGCTGGACAAAATAATGTGCAGCTTGACTTGTACTTGGATAAAGAGACTTGTGTCTTGACTTATGTTTAGACCAAATGACGAGTGACTTGACTTGCCCTGTGACAAATGACTTGTGTCTTGACTTGGACTTGCTTGCATGTAAAGACTTGTGACCTGACTCGGACTTCAAAAAATCACTGCTTCCACCTCTGGTGGATGCACTCAGCTTTAACTGTTAAGGAATTCATTTCTGTGCCCTCCCCAGTCTCTCTGCTTCACTGGGTGCTAACCCCATTTTGACCATGACAGCCTTGGTTCCCTCCTTTTCTGAGCCTACTCGTTCATCCATCAGTCATGCTCCCAAACTACTTGGACCTTCTGACTCAACTGAGGTCTCAAATTGCACATCCGGATCCAGCCTCTCTTCACCTCTGTGCCTGGATGCTACCAAAGACTCCGTCTGAGCAGCTGGCCTTTCAGAAGAAACTACAGCCTTGACAGGAAAGAGTAGACAGGGGTCCACCAGACAAACTTATGATGGTAGACTCTACCACGTCAGCGAGTTGTATGAGGAAAGAGCTGTTGATCCCCATTATGCATGTGTAACTGCTGTCAGAGATTTTCTTCTTCACCTTTTCCACAGTGGTTGTCAAATCTCCACTCTCAAGGCTTATAGATCAGCCATTTGTGTCATCCACTAGGGTTGCATGATGGGTGAAACTCAGACATGCAGTGGGTACAGATGTGTGGTTTGGGGGTTTTCCGTAACATGCGTTCCGATATGCAAACGTAAGTAAACAGGCGAGTGTTTTCTTATAACAATGGAAAATCCCTTTGGATTTTGGGAATGTAGTTCATTTGATAGAATTAACTGAAACCTTGGACAAAAACTGACAGCACACTGCATTGTAGGGTTTGGTACATGTATCTCAGTTGATAGAGTATTGGATTCATGAGGTTACCAGGTGACATCTTTCCCGGATCAGTACCTTTTGTTCAATTGAAAATTAAAATATTTTGAAAATTGTTACATTTTTGGAACCATTGAAAACTTCATGTGCATTTACATTCATAATGAATATAAAGGTCACCTATTAAAGGGTATGTTTAGTGTATACACCACATCTCAGTTCACCAACATTGATTCACTCAGTAATTCATCAGTGGAAGTCTTTGTATTGTAATTTGATTGCACAGTCTACTGCCCAGACAGACAGTGATGATGATGTTATCATCTTAGGGACAACATCAAGTTCGTTGACAAGTAAAGGAACTTCCAAGTTGACAAGCTCGGAACGCCTCATGCAGATTGGCCGTATGAACATTCACAGAACAGGTATTATTACATGTACATCCTCCTGTTGAGTTAACAGTGTTGTTTGTTCAAAGATTTCACTATCACAGATTAATATTCTGTGCCTACGAGAGGGATATCAGAATATGGTAAACTAGCCTCACTTGCTCAATGTGTTCCACACATGGTGTAAATGCGACAGAAATAATGCTTTGCTGTTTGTTTGGTCACTCAATGCCCATCGGAACATCTTCCTTTTGAACCCAACTCAGATTGTAGGGGAAAAGAGGGAGAAAAGTTTGAGCTTGATACCTGTAACAGATTTCTTGTTATAGCTTTGCCACTTTTTGGCATGCATGAATTGCTTGTTTTGCTAGAATCTTTGATTGTCTGTGTATATTTTATAGCTGAAATTCATGTGACCTCTTATTCTTCCCATTTCTCATATTGATTTTGCCCTTGAATCTTGAAGTTATGGATCCCAACATTCTTGAGATTAAGTGGATTTTTTTTTTGGAGCCCATGAGTATTAGCAAATACAGTTGAGAAGGATTCTAAATAGTTTTTCCCGAATTTTTGGGAAGTTGATCATGTGCATCAAGATATACTTTATAGGGATCACACTGTAAATGAAAGTACCGGTATGTTGGAGGCCCTAACCATTCACATAGTACCAAAATAAACAATATCTTAATAATCCCTCAACTTTTGAGTGCAGAGTTTTTTAAACTGTCATTATTCAGGTTCTAATATGAATTTTAAACTTTCCACTGTCATTGGCAAATAATATTTTGGCTTTCAAAATGATACCCAAACAAACAAGGGTGTCAGACAGTGGCATAGCACCTGAACATTACACACAGAGATTGATAGTAAACAGAAAAGTGTTTAATGAAAAAAAGAAAAGTGTGAAAGATGTCAAGCTGAAAATGCTTTTCCTTTTGTTTGCATGTCAAGATATTTTCAGGGTTTTTTTGGGGGGGGGGCTCCCCCAGCAAATCTGAGTAGCATTGCATGGCACATGTCCTGATTTTGTTTGATTTTGAGAAGTAAATCAGGACTTTCTTAAGATTTTCAGTTTTCAAAATTCTTCAAAAATTCATCATTTCAATTAATGGATATTTACACCCACATGAATTACTGTCTGGTGGTCACTCTAGTGTGACAGACAAAATCTATTGATGCCTGAGTATTTCAGCCAGGCCTGCATCCTTGTAAAAAGAGGCCGGATTGTGCAGTGTTACGTAACTTTCTTTTGTTCACGGACCTGACACAGTGCACTGCTGACCTCTTTTCAATAGGGGCCAGATGCAGCGGTGCTGCGGTGGTGGAGCGCTTTTGTCCAAGGTGGTAATCCACTCGCACTAAATGCCCCAAACCGTGGTATACTGTTTCAAAACAAGGCTGGACTATCTCCACTATTGAGAGTGAAACAATGTTGGTAATGCCCAGCAGCCTGGTCTTTTGTTCTGAGTCCACTCATTTGTTACATGGCCCATTTCCCTTTGTTCAATTTCGGAGACCCCGGCCACGCATATAAACACATGGTGCCTGTGCCATGGTGTCTTTTGTCAGTGCTCGTTGAAAAGGCCTAAAATCAATTACGGTTATTAAAGTTGCGCGTTGTTAAATAGGGAGACTGTCTGAGGTATTTATGAATGATTGTATAAACAATCCCCAGTACATGTTAAAGTATAGCAAGGGTTAAGGACCAAGCATTTTGAGGCACAGTTTGCTCAGAAGTGGTTGAGCTGCTTGAACAAAATTTTCTGTGCCACTGGCGAATTGCATTAGTACTGTTAATTATACAGGATGTTGCACACAAATTGGTTTGCTTAGCTCACATGTAATTACCCTTGTGTGTATATGTACACTTGCACCCAGAATATATGATGGGGAAATACGCTCAGCCTTTTCCCTTTGCCGTTAGCTAAATACCCTAATCCGTTGTTCCTGGAAATGACCACCTATTGGTCATCTTGTAAACTGTAAATTCTTAATCTTTCCGAGTGCAAAGGGAAAACAGTGCCTGCGGAACACAAAGGACTGGCCATGTGCTCTTAAAGTGCCCGAATGAGGGCATTGAAGAATTTGAACACCCAGAGCCATGGCATCGAACAGAAGACTATATAAAAGGGGCCAAAATAATGCAACGAAACATATTGAACACCGCTGCAACTTTGCCATGGTATTGACTGAAACACCACACGTGGTCCTGATTTGATATGAAAGAAACACTGAGATGGAAAGGATTAATTTTTTGGCAGGTTGGATGCCTTGGATAAAAAAAAACTAGCAGAGGTATGGGTGCAGTTTTGGGGAAAAGAAATGCTGGGATGAGGAAGGTTAATATTTTTGGTGGGTTGGATGCTTGCAATTAAAAAAAAATAAGTGGAAGGGTTGGGGAAAAAAAGGATGCAGTCAAGGTTTCAGTAAAGAAATGCTGAAATGGCCATGATTAATATTGTTGTGGGTAAGATGCCTGGGTTAAAAAAAATATTTAGTATTGGGTGGGGGGAAGCTAAACAACATGTGGTCCAAGTTTGGATTGTAAAGAAATGCTGAAATGGGAAGGATTAATATATTTTGAAGGCTGGATGCCTGGGATTACAAAAAAGGGGTACGGTGGAGGAAAAAAATACGTCCAGATTTGGATGGAAAGGAAATGCTGAAATGGGAAAGGTTTGTATTTTTGTATGCCATGAATTAAAAACAGCAATGGGGTGGGAAAAAATAAAACCACATGTAGTCTAGGTTTTTATAGAAAAAGATCTGAAATGGAAGGAGTTGTTATTTTTGATGGGTTGGATGTTCAAAAATACTAATTACACAATGGGGTGGGAAAAAGTACAAGCATACTTTCGGATAGAAAAGACTGAGATATGAAGGATTCTTGTTATGTGTTGGTTGGATGCTTAGAATTAAATAACGATAATTATAATCCCAGTGAAAAAATAAGATCTCTTACTCGTTCATTAATATTTTAGGCTGGTTGGATGCTGAAAAAAAAATGATGATTATGTGACGGGGCAGGAAAAAATTAAAACCATGTGTGGTCAGGGTTCAGAAAAAGAAATAATGAGGCGGGCTTCGTCAATCAAAAAACAAAGCCACTTAAAAACCAACTGGCCTCACTGCTTCTGGAATATATACTTAAACACATGACAGTGAGTCGGCTGCCAATCATTGGTTGGGTGAAAGCTCAGAGAATTCATTTGAAATAAGCCACTAAGATCCCTCTTTTGGTTAAGCTTGGTTGTAAAAGAAGGGGCTTCATGTCTGTGTGTTCTGCAGTGGTTTAGCTCCACCATAATCAAGGGGCATCATGTCTGTAAATCCCTTTTGAGGTTAAACTTTGCGGTTATTGTGTCTCTGGTTAAAAATGTTCCTGGAAAGTGTTTGGGACGCCCTATGCCCTTTAACATAAATCCTCCTGATTGTAGGGCAAAATGCCATTGTATATTCTGGGCGTAAGTGTACATGTACATTGTAGGTTGTTGCTTTTGTGCCTTCCTGGCAGGTTGACAGTCTCTGTGTTCCCATTATGTGATAAACAATGCACATTCATGACACCATTGGAACCCAGCACTGATAACACATGGCATTCAGGCATGTAGTGCATGCTGAATCCATATCTCTTAATCACTTTGAAAGTTTTAATTGCGTTAATCTTTTGTGAGAACAGGGGATAATCCATGTAATTCTCATAAATTAGCATCGAACCCACACTCTAATAACAAATCTATAAATCCTCTTTGATGAATAGATAAAGCAGAAAGACAGCAGACAGCTAAGAAGAGCACTTCTAGCCTAAGTCATCACCATCATCATAAACACAGACATGGTAGCCATAGACACAGTAGGTATTCATTCAAGAGCTGAAATCACTGTACCCGTATATGCATTAAGCAAAACAAATGCAGAAACTTGTATATTTTTCTCCTAGAAAGGTTAATGTAACCTCAAAGACAACAATCAGGCTTTTTGTATCTTCCCACTCAAGTAACATCTCCTTTGGAGCTGTGATATCGTTGACATTGTTACAGTGTACAAAGGGCTGGGGTCAGTCTAATGGTCATGCATGTTTGTGTTCATACTCATACAAGAGTGGAAGTTTACATTTATGACTGTTCCCACACCACATTCACAAGTAATTAGTTGGTATGAAGACTATTGCCAAGTCCTATCGGACACAAGCACCCTGATTTCAGTGACAAGGGCTTACAATGAGGGGTTGTAGCAGGGTGGGCCATCCTACCAAAGTTTTACCATCCTGATAACATTTTTGCCACCCTGTTAAATTATTCAGTGCCAGATTTTTTCCCATTATCGCAGTACATATTTACTTTGTGGACTCCCGATCTATTAAAGATCAAAACGTGAAGAGTTTCCTAATATCACAGTAATCTTGACCACCCACACATACTTGTAGCAGATGCAACAGATGTACTAATGTCACAAAGATGCTCAAAGAGTATGTGTTTAAGTACATGCAGACTACATTTTGGGGCCATTTTCATAGAGCTGCTTAACCACAAAAACCTTTCTTAAAAAAACAAAGGTTACCAGCTCAAAATCTATGTGATTGTCATGCTAACCAACATGACCATGACCAAAAGAGAGGTGAATACATTTCAAACAATATATATCACATTGAGTTTAGGCTGGTAACTTGATTTGTCAAACAAGGTTTTTTCACCCTTAAGTAAGTTTGGTGCTTTAAGCAGCTCCATGAAATTGGCCCCTGGACTGGTTCATTCCTGTCTCCTTGGTATATGTAAACAGATGCCCGTTGTGTTCCACTGTAGGTTTTCAATTTAGTTTTCTCAAAAGATTGCCATTTTTTGTATTAACCCATCTCCCCACCAGTTAAAATAGGCAATCACCTATGAAGCGATGTCAATGGTTGTGGTGCGATTTCTGTCTCTGCCTGCCCTGCTAAAAGTTCAGGCTGTGGAGAATACTGACTTAACCTTTGTTGTTAACATATCTGTCAATAAATTTTGCCCCACAGATTTACAGGCATATGACTCCTTAAAAGCCAGCATGCAAGAAACACCCCGGCATATGCAGCAGTCTAGAGCTGAAATCAAGCATACCAAAATGACTTTCGGTGAGGATTGACTTTGTCTTACCAGGGAATTGATACTTTCATTTTAATGAATTTTAAAAAATTTAATTTCAGTAATGTATACTGAATAAGCATGTGCATACCAATTTAGGGTCCATTTAATACATAGATAGTCAAGTAGTGACAAAAGCAGTATGCCACACAATTATTGGCATGACATGTTATATAAAATTAACACAATGTTTTGCAAATTATAAACAATAAAAAAATTCTTGTCCAAACCACAGGATAAATGGATTTCCACAATAACAGTGGTAACGTACAGGAAGAATCCAAGGCACAACGAAGTACTGAACCAGTCAACCAGTCTGTCTGTAATGTCATACCTAATGAAATTGCTGATTAGCCAGATGGGCTGTCTTACTTCGGTATCTGTGTATCTGGTTGACAACCCTCGATGTAAACAGTAACATGGATAAACAATAGTGTTCAATTTTTTTATCAACAACATTTTTAGAATTCTACTACACATCTCCAAATAGGCTTTAATGAGCAACAGTCCTCAAGTTGACATTGTTTCCCCGAATGTTGTCATGGTGCTTCATCCATCATATCTAAGTTACAATAGGTAACTTAAGGTGATTCTTAAAACGATTTCAAGAAATTTAAGATAAGTGGAACGCATCATAGGTTTCCCAGCAATACATTGTAAATTACAATGAGTCATTGGGTCATTCTTTGGACCATAGTAGAATTATTTCAGCAATGGCGCACACGCTTCCTTTTGCTAATTTCGAGGCCAGACAAGCTCTGAGAAGGAAAAGAAAATTTTGAGACAGAAAAATCTGTTAGATTTGCTGATGGAGGAAGTGATTTATCAGCACTACAGATTCACAGGAAATGGGATTTTTGAGCTTTTGTGCAAAGTTGAGCTAGAAATCGAGCCTATCACACGGGTAAAAAACATACCTCATTTATATGTGCCAAGGCCTACAGTAATAAATGTCTTTGATCATAGGCATTAATATAATGCTTACCACCAGTGTATTCCAATAATTCTGGGGAAAAAAAATGCAACACCATCACTGTGGTACTGACACAACTTGTGACAGTTGAAACTAAATTAGTGCCACTATTTGTTCGTCAGCTGATATTAAGATTATCAGCGATAGTGCCCAGTCTAGTCAGCTTTCGTGTTCTACGTACAGTACAGAGTGAATGAAACAAGCTCAATGGGGAGGCTAAAGGGAGTGCTTTTCCTTTTCACAATTTGGGAACTTTTTTCTGTCTTTGGCGATTATGGCTTGTCCGCTCATTGGATTGGAATGATTTAAACAATAGGGCCTGCAATAGAATCAGAATCATGGACCTCGGCATGCTATGCGTACCATGTTCAAATGCTTGGCTAGGGTTTGTCATATTTTTGTTAATGGACTAGGTAATCGTTTAAAGTAATGATACGAGGCCAAGTGTTTTTCGTATTTCATAACTACGGCAAATTCCAGTCATGCCAGTGGTGTTTATTTTTTCTTTTAGGGAAGGGGCACTTCCCTACTTTTGAGTATTTTCATAATGGCTGTTGCTCTTATTAATGTAATGACAGGCCATCCATTGAGGAGGTCCACTTAAATTGTTAGTTTAAGGACGCCAAGGCAAAGGAAGACGGGCAGATAGAGTCCAAATGTAACTGTCTCAATTATACAGAGTTTTATTTACATGTCAACTTTGGGGGTTCAAATATTCAGGTATGATTACAACTAATTACAATTCAAATCCTTAATTCCTATTATTTCCAAAACTCCTGAAATTCCTCAATTTCCAAAAATCCTCAAATTCCTCAATTTCCCAAAATCCTCAAATTCCCTGAATGCCAGGCCTGTGTATGACTGTGGTTTAGGCCTTCCAGACAGCACCTAATAATGACAGGTGTGTGGAATAAAGATCGAAAGACTAGTGTAAATCATACGAGTCGCCACACAAACAAACAGCTCAAGTATAATATAGAGTGAACATGACAATATCATGTGTACGCTTTACGTGAAACTTTTACTATCAAGACTGTGAATTTTCACTCCAAAATCACTCATTCCGCGTTCTGCTATGACCCCAATAATCATCAAGTCGGGTCACACACTATGGAATCATAAATTGCGAAGGTGAAGAGACTACAAATCAGCTATTACAGTGCGTAAAGCTAGTTTTCATGGTAACAAATTAATCCTGAGATACTCACTCTGTGGTGCCCACACTGGAAAGAATTATAATTATTACTTGCACGCCCATCGCACTTCCTTCGCGGGAATTTCTTATATTTCTAACGGGCTGGGCGGCGTGCCAAATAAACTATGGTGCCTCCTAAAACACGCTTCCCTACAAAAATTTTCTGTGATTCTGCATAGGCTATATGTATATTCTTCAACTACTAAGCTACAGGAAGGCGACTCACAATTTTCAATCCTATTGCCATACCTCTATCTTGGATACTGTCTGTTCAATTGGCCCAGAATGATCACATGACAGGTTGCTATATCTTCATATATATTGCCACTAATCCATCCTTGAAATAGTTGTTTGCAGTACCCGCTGCTACATTTGATTCGAACCAGCTAGCTGACACCAGCAAGCTCGGTGGTCGAGTGGTTAAGACGTCTGCAGTAGTAAGCAGGAGATTGTGGGTTCGAGTCCCACCCAAGTACACTTGTGGTTTTTTCACAAGCCTTGGGGGGGCATACACTGAGTTTACGGAGTTTAAATACACGTCGGGCAGGCAAAAATCTGAAATTAACTTTGGTTTGTTCAGACACTGATCCCAAATCATGAAAGGAAGACAATTTGAGACCTAACATAATATTTACTCTTTGAAATGACAACATAAATGTGGTACAATTTCAGTTGGTGATTCCTATGTTTTATGGTTATATAGCTCCATTTTGTAAAGGGTAAAGAGGTGATTCCATCCCCCTTCCATCTCTTTCTTTCTGTGTACATGTGGCTGGACTGACCCAAAGCTGGCACCCGCTTCTGTGGTATTGAAATGATGCCAGCAGTGGGTCATCAATGGTCCAGGGCTGGCACAGCTGAGCCAACCCTTGCCGGATCATCCCAACTCTGGGCAAGGCCTGGACTAACAGTTTGGTGTTTGCTGGGACGGACAGTTGTGTGGAATATTGTCATACTTGTGGGTTGTACCCGTTTGTTCCATTCTCTGATTGTGCCCTCCAGTGCATATACAAATTTCCCTGTGGACAAGAAAGTGTTGATTATTGTTAATTCTATCATTAAGTTACTTCCTGGGCTCGAATTTCAACTTTTTTGGGTGCTGCCATTTTTGCCTCAAGAAATAGGACATGTGAAGGGGCACCGTGGCCAATAACGGGCAACAAGACCTAACTTTCTACAAAGCAAAGGCTCAAAGGCCAAGGTGTAAATATTTTTCAAATTCAGAAGTTTATAAGTTCAGAAATTGGAAAAATGAAACATTTTGATTTGTGTGTTTGAGCAAAGACTAAGGCCTCTATTAGGGTCTAAGATAAAATCCATATTGCAAAGTAGACAATCCTTAAAGTTCAACCCAGTCAATCAAGGGTTGATTTTTTGTCAAGATTTTTCCTCGCACCTAAGTAGGAGTCAAACAAATGGCGTCTCATCATTAACCACTACCTGCCGGGGACTCCTAAATCGGAGCCGTATGGTTTATATGTGTAGCCGAGGTCTCTGAACTCGGACAAAGGAAACAGGGCCCTGTAACAAAAGACCGTACTCTGAACAAAAGACCAGGCTGCTGGGCATTACCAGCATTTCTCACTCTCAAAAGTGGTGATAATCCAGCGTTGTTTTGAAACCATATACCAGGGTTTGGGGCATTGAGAGCAAGCGGATTACCACCGGGGACAAAAGCGCTCCACCACTGCAGCGATGAGCCACACAGCACCGCTGCACGCTAATCTGGCCCCTATTGAAAAGAGGTCAGCAGTGCACTGAGCCAGGTTCGTGAACAAAAGACAGTATATAACACCACACAATCTGGGCTCTNGCTACAAATGACTGTTAAATGAAATGATGAATTGTTGAAGGATTTTGAAAACGGAAAAAATGATAGTCATGCCAGCCCAGCATCATCAACATTGAAAAATGCCCCGGCACGAAGTGGTTAATCTGAAACCATAAAACAGATACATCCTCACCAAGAAATTCCACATAAATGTGTCCACAGGTTCCTGTGCTTCATAATACAAAAGGAAGACATACAAAACACTAAGCTCTTCCATAAGGTCTGTTTACTTTGCCCAGAGTTTCACCCGGTTGCGAAGGAAGACATGCGAACTCCAAGCTCTTCCACGTGGTCTGTTTACTTTGCCCAGAGTCTCACCCGGGTTGCAAAGACTGTCACCACCCGTCCATGACAGCTGCTAATCATGATCTCCCAGTACTTAGGTGACTGGCTGACTGTCGGATGGTGCAAAGGCCTTACAGTCAGCCCACCTTATCTGCGACCTTACTAACCACTCCACCTTGATAATTAAAACCAAAAAAGCTGGAAGCTGGTACCATGCCAGTTCCTAACTAACCTTGGGGACATTATCAACTTCTGCAAATGCAGCATTACCCCAATGTCCTGACAAGTTGCCTATCTACAGAAGTGCCCATCTCACTTCAGTCCACTCAATTGCGTCCAGCTTTTGCCTAGCTCCACCTCCTCAGACTGAGGGCCAGTGTGGTGGATTTAGTACTGTGGTGCAGGCTTCGTATGAGTCTACTGCAACTCCACCTGCTTTCTTTCCAGCCTAAGTCAAAGACCATTGAATGTCCAGTCTTTGAGTAAAAAAAATTACCTAAACAATGAATACAGTCTGCTGGCTAAACCTGAGATACTGATAAAAATCGCATCCTCGCTTGAATGAAGCCACCCTTCCCCTACGTCAGGTTTCAGGGAACTGGGATGCCTACAAGCAATAAAACCTCCCACTGCCCAGGAACTTCAAGCGATTTTCAACGCCCTGCCACTTTTCCTCATATGCATCAAAGAGTTTGGTCTGCCTAAACAATTCAATGGTAATGGCTAATGCCTACTGACAAGGTTACATGCATTTTTCCCCCGGTTAGGTATCCTGACATGGAAACCTTACACTGGATAAAAGACCATGTGATCAACATATCGCCAGACCGGATATGATAGCGGTCATGCTGTCTCACAACAACTGATTGGACTCTGCTCCCTGGCATAGTCAGGGCACTCTTCGTTATGTTATGAGAACTCCATCGAGCTCTTCTCATTTGCAGACAAGACCTAGCTCTTGGTGTTTTCCACCAGAGCACCACATCTGTGGGCATCTCTGGTTCTCCCCGAGATAGAGCACAAATGCTGCTGGACATTACTAATCAGCCCTGGTTCCCAGATAGAACACACTTTTCGCTCACCAGCCATCCATCCTCCTAATCAGACTGGACTTCCTCTTAGCCCAAGTCAGGGATCTTACTGAAAAGGGACACCTGTGGTCCTCCATTTACAGTATTGGATATTGTCCAATGAGCATTTTCTGAGCATGATTTTCTGATGATGCTGCGCCATGTTCGCATGGGTACAGTGCTTCTCTGGCTGTTGGTCATCCGACCGCTATAGCAGATTTTGTCATCTACTTATTTTACCCTGTGTACATGGACTGCTTCTACAGATGAGCCTTGGCCACGATATTTGTCGTCTTCAGAAACAACTCCATCTGTGATGTCATTGCCCTCTGTCATCTCCTGCATTCTATGTCCAATGAATGTCCTCGCACCAAGCAGCTACTTGTGTCTGGGGGCCTAAGCAAAATCCTCCACTTGCTTACTGTTTCCCCTTTTGTTTGAACCCCTCACTGATGTCTCCCTATGGCATGCCAGCACCAACCCAGCCTTCCTCCTGGCTTTGGGTGCCTCCAGAGGAGACAGTATACTGCAAGCTCAATGTGTTTGCCGAAGCTCACTCTTGCTGGTAGCTGCATAATTTGAGCCTCGTCCTGTCCATCAGCTTTCTGGCAAGAAGTTCTACCTCCTCATTGAGCTGCCAGATATATTTGTGCTCTCAATTGCCTCACACACCGGAGGCATTATGGACAAACTCTGGTGCCTAGTCCACATACTGAACTAGTAAAGCAAAGCACTGGATGGGGACTGGCACCCAATGATTCCTTTCTACCACAAGGCTCCGTCACCCAGCAGCAAGAGACTCCATCACCTGCAGGATGTTGTTGGCCATCTCATTCGCCAACCACGTGGCCTAGGAAATCAATCTCATTAAATCCAATGAAACACTTTCAGGGACGGGCTGTCAAAGAACATTCATCAATGCCTCAACATGTCCTTCCCACGTACCTGTATAGATCCAGATGCCATCAATAAAGTTAACTACATTAGACAGACCGAGGAGTAACTTTTGTATCATCCTACTGAACATTTAAAAGAGCACTTATAGTATATACTAGCTCCTGAGGTCTTACAATACACTGGAAATTGTCACAGCCTGCCTTTTTCCTCAAAATTGGGGCAGCAAATCGCTCACCAAACTTATGGCTACAGCCAACACTGAATTTCCAATCCACATCAACACATTAACAAGGCTCTGTAAAATTCTACTGGCTTCAGAGATATCGCTCGAACTTGTGCTACCGCACCACAGGCCTGTCAGTCTTTGCCACACAGAACCACTCCCCAGTACATGTATATAAGGCTACTACTGTTAAACAAAGCCTCAGTGAGGAAATACTATAAAACACTATTCAGGTCCCCATGCGGGTGTGAACTATAGAGGACCACACCTTACTTTGCATTAAAGAACATATAGGGAAATTGGGCCCACTTGGCTACATTCAGTTTGGGTCTCTAAATTAACCAAATAGTTGGCCTAAAATATCACTGACTTGTTACATAGTGTTTAATGAAATGCATCCTAGAACCAGTCATAGCTATGATAGATTGTACTGTTACGATTCATCATGGGTCAATGATAGATCATGAGTTACAATATATTTAGTGAAATCCACTCCTGGACAGGTTGTAATATTCTTTAGTAATTTTTTTCCCTCTTAAAAATCACAATGAAACATTTGAAGATTGTGTGAAATGTGATTGTTTCTTTACCTTTCTTCACAGACTTCAACAATATGTGTATTGGGGTGGTTCTTGTGCATTTGCCCTGATACTCACTTAATTCACAATGTTATTGTCCCCAGACACATACACATTTTTCACATCACTGTACATTTTATTCATCTTTGGTAGCTTTTCACAACTGAAAGAAATGCCGTGCTTGCTTTACATTAATGAATGGCCAGATTTAAGACTTCAAAATTATGAATTTGATATTGTTCCATTGGTATTGCAGTTTCCCATCAGTGCAGTCAACGGTGTGTGCTTGGTTTAATACCAGACGAAAAACGGAAGCAGAAAATAAGAAAGCAAAACCCTCTTCATGTTCCTAGTATGTATGGTTGGGTGCGACGTCAAGCAAAGCAGAGAGGTACTGGTAGAAGACACGTCATCTATCGTGCGCCTTGTGGTCGTAGTTTGGTAAGTAATACAGTTACTGCTAGCTGAATTGATCAAAGTTGCGAATTTGTCAAATTTTAGCTTGGATGAAAAGGAAAGTGAAAATTCCAACATTATCTTTTGAACATCAGTTTTTCCTTTCTCATTATCTCTTGAACCTTTTAAAGGCCGATAATTTTGGCTGTTTTGATCCGTTCACAACCTAGCACCAGTATTAGTTTATGTTTAATTTGCATTTTTAAAGGCATTTTCTACTTGGGAAATGAGCATGTGCCCTGATGTTCACAGAACATTTATGGGCTGTTACACACTACAGGTATATGCATTTGACTTTTTGAAAATTGCATCCAAGTATCTCAAGCAGCATTTGATTTTCTCTTCTCCCAGAGAACCATCTCTGAAGTTGACCGTTACCGTAAGTACAGTACACCTGCAATGCCCTTTGCACTGATAAATATATACATGTATATAGGACCAGTTTGGTATACACAGCTGACAAACTGGAATTTTCAGGAATGTACTCCTCTCTTTTGTAAGTGTTTGTAGTTTGTAGTCATATTCTTTAATTAAAAAGAAACAAACGTCCAGTGGAAGAGTTGTTTACGGTTGTTGGTTGCTTTCAACATTTTTTTTTATATCAAAAAGTGTTGAAGCAGCAGCGATGTGATTTCTCTATTTTTTCCAAATTCTTTTGTAATGTACTCTGGATAGAAAATGGGTTGTTTGGTTATATGCTAAATATCTCTGGTGCATGATTAACATGGTGCCAGAGAAAATGTTTTGCAAAATGTATATACAATATAACAATGGATTGGACCTGTAACAAGTCTAATAAACAGAAGTTTCAAGTACCTGATGGAAATGAATGCAATGCATACAGTGGAATACTGATAGATTTGACTAAACATGTTTCTCCATGAAGTGTCCACCTTATGGATGTATTGAAGTTGTCTCGTGCACATGTATGGCTGAGTCAGCATATCAGACTCAGTTTTTACAAGGGGACACAGAGACAAAGGAATTGGATTGAAATCCATTTGAATTGGTTTGAAGAAAGTGTGGAGTTTTTAAGTTGCAGTGTCTCAGTGTCTTAAAAATGTTAAAGATGAAAAAGTTTTGTTAACCACTTGTGATGATACTTCCAGTTCTGGTTTATGTGCGTGGCTGGTGGAAAAGTACTGAGAAACAAAGGTGTTGCAAACTAGAGACATTTTCCAGTGATGTTCTCTTCAAAGGCCATCAGGCCACTTACTTGCTGCCGGGTGCTTTGAAAAATGCAGTGCACCCATACAGGTTATTTTCAAGATTTTCAGTTTTCAAAGCTTTTGTCCCCAGTGGTAATCTGCTCGCGCTGAATGCCACAAATAGTGGTATTATCTTTCAAAACATGGACGGATTTCCCCGATATTGACAACAGAAAAAATGTTGGCCCTTCCCCAGCAGCTCAGTCTTTTGTGCCAAGCACAGTCTTTTGTTACAAAACCCAGCTCTTTTGTCCCGGTTTCAGGCTCCCCGGCTTCGTGTATAAAGCCTAGGTGCTCGAAACAGGTCCCCCGGCAGCAAGTGGTTAATATAGAAAAGCAAGGGTAATATTGATTGGATTTACTGCATGATATTTGTTACATATACTTAAAGTGAATTAGAATGATAAATCTTTGAATCTCGAAACCTAGATGCTGAAAAGAAATCATTGTTAACAAATGCGAATGGACATAACTGAAACATTCAGTACACTTTAATTAGTTGAATGAAAACAGAATGGCATTGTCTTACAGTGAAAACCAACTCAATTTCAGAACATTTGTCAAAGTTCACTTGGAATCAAATAAACATTACATCCAACTTATTTGTTGCTGGAGCCCAGACTATGCAGGCTTCATTCTTCGTGCTTACAATTAATTTGTCTGCAATAGCAACTCACATTCCTGGTTCACTGCCGAGGCTAAGGCCAAAGCTTGACCATCAAGGCTCGGGTCAAGGCCCTGAAAAAACACTGCGATGAAATAAGATCCATTCTTACAAAATTGTTGGTACCTAAATAAGATGATCAGAATTTGTGGATTTTTTTTCAAAAATGATATGGAACAAATGTGTTCCATTTTGTAGAACTCTGAATTTCAAGGGATCATGTTGCCCCCTGTTTGGCTGAGTTTAACTCAGATGGTTTTTTTTCTCAATCTTGACAGTTCTCTCATAAGCAACTACACAATTGAAGAATAATGTAAAGAATTGGTTGCTTTTTTCAATTTTTTTTCTACATTAGAATTTTTATTTTTTAGAGTTACTTGTAAATGTCCTATATGCAGTTCTGAGTGCAGATGTGGACACATTCTCTTGTGCTTTGAGGGTCCAACTCTTTAAGGCCTCATTGGCTTTAGCTGTGAATGACTGAACCTTTGCTCCTTAACTTGCTTTAAATTGAAAAAGTTGTTATAATTGACTCTTATATCATTTTCATATAGTTACAGAAACCAAGATGGAGGAGATTTGTGTAGATGCATTCACCTTTGATCCGTTTGTTTACACCGAATTGTGTAAATATCGCATTAGCCAACGGCCTTTCCTTCAGATCAATGATATTTCCAAGGGTGCTGAACCAGTGCCTGTATCGGTATGTCTGCTGCTTACATTCAGTCCTTGTTTTCAATTAAAAGATTAGACTCTCACTTCATTATTCCTTATACACGTACATGTATGTTCCTACTGGAATACACCATTCTACATTTTCTTCTTTCAATTTTAGTTTAAAGTAAATTTGTATACTCTCAATCTAATGGTTGTATTTTAGGTATCAATTCATTATGGGATAACTTGCCTGTGTTTCGGCAAATATAATTTTTAGAACTGTTGTCTGATCATTATACTTTGTTAGTGGGTTCACAACCCTTCTGTATAAACATGCATTATGCACAAAGTTGTCCAATTAGTTGTTGATACTTGATATATTTGTGTACTGTAGCAGTGGATGTAGAGGGCATGTTTGATATATCATGATATTCGTCATGTTCCAGTTGGTAAATGAAATAGATAATGAGCAGCCGCCAGATGTCCGGTACATAGCTCATCGCCAGCCAGAAAAAGGATCTGTGATTATAACTGATCCAGAATTTCTCATTTGCTGCGACTGCACTGATAACTGCAAGGCAAGTTGAATTGGCTTATCTGTATGCCTTTTGTATCAAGAATGAACTGATATTCACTATGACATTAGTCTGTCATCATTGTTGAGATAATGATAGTGGATTTCACAACGCTGCTCTAATGAAGAGAATGAAAACGTCTTTTAGTACATGTCATGTACTGTAGATTCCCATTACAGCTCTCCCTGATATAACGTTCTTACCAGTATAGCGCTTTATTTTCATTTCCCCAACTGCACGCCCATTCACCATGTACATTTTTATGTGGTTATAGCACTCCCATTTACAATGCTTTTCGGAATGTACATGTAACACTCATGATTTTTGGGCCAGAGAACCGTGTAAAGCATGCAAAATAATTCCACTTACCGCTCTCTCCACCTTGGAAAATCAGTTTCTTTGAAAATCAATGCATTTCAAACTGCATCGCAAGGCCGGTTATGTTTGGCCAGCCATCCTGGACACAAGTAGTTTAGCGATCACACCATGATAACACAGGGTGCAGACATGCACTGGGCCATGGTCCCATGGTTACTTGGAAACATGGTTATTGGGAAAAATCAGCGATTGGACTGTCCATGAATGGGTATGCAGTAGCAGTCAGGATGTCACGGTGGGTGTAGATGCAGTTATAACACTCAATTCTGTTAGGTCCCCTTGAGAGCATTATAACGGGAATCCACTTTTCATATACATGTACATGTACATGTAATTTTACAAACTGGAAGATTTAACGATAACATAATGTTGAATTGCAGCAGGATGTGCACAACAAGGTTTTCATTTTTAAGCGAAATTATGAGGTAAAATAAGTATAGTCCATTTTTCAGTGAAACCCACAGCAGCTCCAACATGAGATGTGATATATGTTAGCATAACATTTATTTGGCTTCATTTTCAGCAGAAATGTGCTTAAAGCTATTGACTGGTTGACTGATAGATCAGTTGATACAATTCTAACTAGCAAAGCCCTGTGAACTTGATCAATCAAACAACCTGACAATATCAGCTGACCTTATTTCCTGAAACTTCATCATTTATCCCACCTAAGACCCATAAGACATGACTGCTGATTGGGCATTATTAGTTGCCAAAAATGCTCAGTTATTATACACGTACATGCATATGCTTGTATGCAATACAAGCATCTATTCCATGTGTAACATGACAATGAAGATGGCAGGAATGCTGCAGTTCGGTTTGAAAGGTAAAAATATTGAACTTGTAAGGGTACCATATCAAAACACTGCTCTGCATCAATAGCAGTTACATGACTCTCTTTGACTTATATCTTCATTTCAAAAACATGGTTACTGAAGAATTGATGGGTCTTTGAAGTACAATTTCTACGTGGAATTATAGCAAATAACTATGGACGTGGCATATTGCTGCCAAGTATTGCTGCTAAGAAAAGAGTAGGTGTGTAAATAGAAGAGCAGCATTGATAATAGCTCATGGAATATTCAGATAATCTTCAATCATTATAAAACATTTCTTTCGCCTGTTCTACCAATATTCAAAGACACCTCACAGTTGATTACAAAAAACAAACGTGTGTCTTTGAACTTTATTGCCTCTTTTTCAGTTTTTAGGCTTAACTTTTTATGTATAGACTAATGTCGGGTTACAATTTCAACAGGATAATACAAAGTGTGCTTGCAGAATGCTGACCCAGAAAAGTGCAGAGGATTTTCCTGAACTTATTAAGAATTCCAGTGAGACCGGCTACAAGTTTAGACGTCTTTATTCAATGGTGCCAACTGGGTAAGCAGCTAGATAGGTGTCTTAGATGTTCTTGGATAAGGATGTGTGATTTTATTTGACATTAACAAATAAATGCTACATATGAAAATGCTGATGCCCTGCATCTACTGCCTGCAACCTACACAGATTACCAATACCTATGCATTATTTCCTTGTCCATTACTTCCATTCACTAAAATTTTCGATCACCAATAGTGCGCCCCCACTCACTAGCCCCCCCCATGAAGGAGTTGGCAATATTCATCCTCTTTTTCTCAGTGCCATTATGTTGTGGAATGTCTTGTTCCAGCTCCAAATTTTTGGGATTTTTTTCCTTCACTGATGTGTGTTTTGGTGTTAATTCTCTATCACCTTGTTTGTTTATTGGTTCTGACTCTCGTGAGCAATAAGATTGTTCCTTTTTCATTTTATTTCTGGATATTTTACTGTTTCCTTTTTAGTCTTGCACAGGTGTTAGACTGACCTTGTATTGACCTTTTTCAGAGTTTGCCAGGTGGCGCTATTGCTTTGGATAAATATATTTCTGTTACTTCAGAATAAATATTAAGTATGTGTGTTTGTTTATTCTGCTTGTTTGTTTATATTCTATGATTCGCCCCAGTTGTGGCATTCTTGTTTATAATTTGATTAGTTTTTAGAGAGCAGTTGCTTAGTTATTATACGGATATTTGCTTGTTGATTGTTCATATAGCCGGGTATTTCGGCATTTCTGGTTTCTTTAAATGTGTAATATTTGCTTGTGGATTTTTCATAATTGCCCAATATTTCGGCATCTCTGGCTTTTCCGATTTCTCTCTGTGTATTCTGTATTTTAGACGATCAAAAACCTGAAGGAAGTTCGAGTTAGTCTTCACCCCGCTTCGAGATATTTGCCCGGTTGTGGGCCAGGGATCACTTAATTAGTAAGGACAGTGGTGCATTGGTTTTGGTCCTTGCTAAGCTAGGAAATAGGACAGTGGGTGGTTAACTATTCCCTTCCGTTGGCCGGTCCGGGATACAGCTGTGCCATACCCTTATTTGCTTCAGTACTGTACTGTCGAGCACAAGAGTTTGCTCTTTGAGCATCAAGTGATATTTGCGAACTCATAGCGGCGGTACTGGTGTAGTATTTGGTACTTACCATGTGCGGCCACAGGCCCTGAGATCCGGTATTAAACTCCATTCTGATCCCGCTCCACAACTGCCTTCATGAGTGAAGTTGAGTCCGCCACTCGAGGGGCCGCTCGGGCAACTCGAAACTCGGCACAACGAAACAGACCTCAATGTGCCGATTGGCGTTATATAGAGCATAGCCTTCATCGAGCTTCAAGCATCACTGGCCCCTATGCTTCACTACTGCCTTCGGGAGCGTAGCTGAGTTTGCCATTTGCGGGGCTGCTCGGGCAGCTCAAAGCTCGCACACCATAAGGCGAGGCGTCAAAAATGTTTTAAGCATTCGCCTGCGTGCAAACAGCAGGAACGCAACTGTCATTGTTAATCCACCCGTCTGACGTGTGCGAACGGCCCACGTTCTGCCCACATTCCTAGTAACAATAGCGCATTCATGGAGCCAGGGGATTATGTGTATACAAAGGAGCCAGGCGAACTACTGTAGAGGGCGACCAGGCAACAGTAAGTATCCAATCTAACAACTGATTGCCCAGTTTTCACTGATCACTGTTCTCAACAGTAGCCAGTTTGCATTGGGAGCGACAATGCGGTCATCATTCTCCTGGGTGGGATTCTTCAAAACAGTTCCGTAAGTGCATTGCATAATACAGCAAAGTGCGTGCGGTCAGTCTGCACTGCAGTGGTGTATTGTGTGATTGTGAAATATATATTTACATGCATTTGGATTTCTCAGCAGGATAATTCTTTTTCTTCAAAGATCGATCAGAAGTACTGTGGAAGAAGCAAAAAAAATGGCAGGCCCGGGAGATATCTTCATTGCGCACTATTCATCTTTAATTTCAGGAAAAGGATGCAAAAGGGCATTTTATCACGGGCTGTACAGCCACCAAGTAACTCAGCACACTTCTAAAAATAAAAATCTGGCCAGCGGCCACAAAGCTGGCCTTAGCAGGTCCAAGAGTCTCCTTGGTAATACTGTTTCTAGGCAACATAGCATAATTCTGACTTGCCGTGAGCGTTGAAAGTGGGGACACTGAGCCCTTGGGGCCTACTCTGTCTTTTGGGCTTTCAGCCTCCCCCTATTGCAGCCAAGTCTCAATGCTTGCAGTAGCTGTGGGTTTTGAACTCCTCACAGTTGGGTTTTACTGGGCGTGGCCTGCTCAAATGTGTGGGTTGCTTGTTGGCAAGTGTTTCCTTACCCTTTGTGGTTGGTTGTTTTCTGGCAACGACATCTCACCCAACCACTATGACAAAAAACAAAACAAAAAAGTGCTCAGGTCCGTTCCAGTTCTGGTAGAGATCTGTCAGCGTCCGGGATTGGGCCCACTCCAACCTATCTGGCCTGTTCTTCATGCAGGGACGCCAAGCCCTTAGGCTTTCAGCCTCCCTCTATCGCTGATCCCCTTCTGGGAGTCACTGTGCCCGCTTGTTATTCTCTGGCTCTGGTTCAGCGGGACAACTCTCTGGCTCTTTCTTCCAACCAAGAGGCTTACTGAGCACTCTATGCCTTCAACAATAGAGGTTTGTTGAGAGCCTTGTTCGGAAACCCATACCACATTCACCTTTTGTTTTACGTTGAAGACGTTTGCAGGGGGGCCATACACATGGACTGACTGTAGGCCAGACAACATTGCAGTTGCACCGTTGCAGACCATTCTTTACCCTTGTAGGAGGAGGCACTCAAGCAGTCACTATAAGATGGCTAGATACTGGTAGTGTGCCCTCGCCTTCCCACCGTCCAATGGTTTGTTGCTACTTTGCATATGTATTGGTAATCTGTGTAGGTTGCAGGCAGTAGACTCTCCCCCACCTAGAGTGGGTTGAGTCTACTGCTGCATACCTACCAGATAACCAATCTCCCTCCCTCCTCCCCACGTGGCCTCGGCCTACTTTTCCCATCGAAAAGAGGACTAACATGGCTGACACTTTTGCAGGGGGCCAGTGAGTGGGGGCACGCTATTGATGATCGAGAATTTAGCGAATGGAAGTAATGGACCAGGAAATAATGCATATGTACTGGCAATCTGGTAGGTATGCTGTAGTAGACTCAACCCACATTAGGTGGTTGAGATTTTAATTCTTTTGATGACCAGATGATTTTCCAAGTTACCAGTCATAAAAGGAGATGATTTGTCAGCTCCCTGAATTCTACCTTTGAATTATACTGGCCAGTTTTGACTTTTACAAGGCCTGCATAAGTTGACACGGGTGTTTGAATAAAATGGAATGACATGTAAAGTTGAGCAATGTGATCTGAAAATTCACTAAGTCCACCTGGTTTAACTACCAGATCGTCACTACAAGCGCATATTTCCCAAGTGCTCTATTGCTATTCGTTAAATATTTTATCGACTGTAGTGCACCCGCCAGCGGTCCACCCTAGGCGTGGCCACTGCCATGTTTGTCCTTCTTTTTCTCAGTGTGTTTTGCTTATAGACGTGTCTTTCGACCTTCTCACTTTCATCGAGCGTTCTGTGTCGCTATTAAAGCTGATCTTTATCAAACGTTAAGTATTGTAACGTATCATGCTTTTATACTTAAATCTTTTTGTGTCACTGTTCAATTACATTTTTGTAAAAAGTCACATTTTATGTTTGTCTCTATGACTACTACAACCACATATGGTTTATCCCCGCTCTTGGTGATGTTATTTGTACAGCTTGGCCAGTAGCTTGCTTCAGCCGAGTCAGTGCCTTTTATATATTTTTACAGGTCCTTCCTGGCCTGATAATATTATTCTCTGGACCAGTAGTCACCCTTATGGTGATATTTACTTGTTACAAAACCTCTGGCCTGTACAGTGGAATGCCGCTATACCCAAAACTACTATATCGAGCATTCGGCATTGTCCTTGGCTCCCAATATTTTGTGCACAAACCTACCAAACACCATGCAGTTATTGCATGCATTGAATGGACACTGGTTTTGCGACTTTACATGATCGATCAAGTGCAGAAGAAAACTGCACGTAAGCACACCATGGAATTGCACTAACATTAGTCTAAAGAGGGTGCTGCTAATACACAAATCAACCGAGTTCACCACAGCAGGCATCAGAGATTGATTCTGAGCAGTAGCTTCATGACTTTTAGATAAACTTGAAATCAAGTTTGTAACTTAAGTTTTAGGGAGCTTGTCAAAAGGTTGAACCACAGTTTGAATGCAGACACTGCGGTTTTCACAGGTCCTTGGCAACCAGCTGACTGTCCACTGCCTGTGCCAACTTACCATGTCAAAGGAACTGACTAACAAAGTCCCCTATTGTTATTTAAATTTTACACTGGGCGCAACTAGTGGAATCCGACCGCGGCAGCAGTCATGCTCTTACCTCACCAAAGGCCTCACCTTTCTGAGACCTGCTTTGCATCTCACCATCACGACTGATGCTTCCCAGTGTGGTAGGGTGTCTCCCTCTATCCCTACACATCAGGGACTTAGGGTCCGCCGCTTCTTGGGAGTCACATCAACATCGTGGAACTCCAAGTGGTGTTCAATACCTTCCTCCACTCTGTCTGGCCATCAAGAACAAAAGTTTCCTCATCCAATCCGACTATGTGACAGTGGTCTTTTACATAAATTGTCAGGGGGGCACCCACTCCCCAAGGTTATGCCTCCTGATGAGAGAAATGTTCCTCTGGACCTTGGACCATGGGATCAACCTCGAAGCAATGCACACCCCTGGTTCTAACAACACCCTCACCAGGGGAAACATCTGCCCTACGGAGTGGACACTACACCCAGGAGTAGTATGTTCGGTCTTCGAGGCTATAGACGGAGCCCACATCGACCTCTCCACCTCATCTCAAAATGTCCAGCTACCAGTCTTCTGCTCAAAGTTCCAGGACCCACACCACCTCAGGCAACCAATGCTCTCCAGCTGGACCGGAATGTTTGCTTATGCATTTCCTCCAATATCCCTAATCCCAGCCATACTTTGCAAAATCGAGCAGGAACACTACCAAGTCCTCCTCACCACACCCTTCTGGTCTCACCAGCCCTGGTTCCCTTGTCTCACCAGATTCTTATACCAAGCTACTCTAATACTACCACTCAGGCTGGACCTCCTCCACCAACCCAGCTCTGGCATCTTCTACTCTCTGCCCTCTGTCGAAAGGTCGTTCCACTCAGCTGGCCTTTTTGATGGGAAGGTGGCCAGGAGCAGACAACAATCCAAGTGCGAAGTCTACAACAGCAGACTTCAACATTTTACTTCAAGGATGCACAGAACAAGGTGTAGCTTTGACCAGTGCATCTCTGAGGATCATAGCCTATTTCTTTAGGCACCTGTTCAACTCCAATATGCAAGTTAAAACTACCTGCAGTTATCATTCTACCATCTCCCCACCATCCATTGCAGCTTCCAAGAAGGAGCTTCGAGGTCAGACAACAATGCTCTTAAACATATGCTCCATGGTATGTTCATTAAGCATCCTCCTTTGAGACTCCTCATCCCTCATGGGACTTGTCTCAGGTTTTTTAGCTTCTCACATATCAGCCATTGAACCTCTTGGTGATGCCTCTCTCCTCTACACTTCAGTGAAACTGGCCTTCCTCTTGGCAGTTAATTCTTCTTGGAGGGGCAGGGAACTCCACACACTATCCATTGCTGATGATCATATCTGCTGGGAACCTCACAGCGTTTGCCTCATTCCTTCTGCGGGTTTTCTCACAAAAGAATCAAACTAAGTCCTTCCACCCTCTGGACAATTTTGTTTCTGACATTACCAAATACTCAGGTTCCTCAGACAACAAGCCCTGGTATCCGGTTTGAACTCTCAAATGGTACCTTGCCAAAATCAGGAATCTCTGTGGTGCTTCTTCTCAACTCTTCATCACTTGGTTAAGCCTCCGCTAAGGTAAATGACTGGATGTACCCAATCCTTACTTCTGTGAGTCCCTCTCATCTGTACTACACTGTTCACCATCATTTAACTCAAGTGAGGGCCTTCGCCGATCCATTGCTGAGTTCCTGTGCTAATCTGCATATGTAGTGACTTTCTGGGTAAGTTTACCGCGCTGAACTTCCTCCCCACAGCAAAGCAGGAGGAGTCCGCAAGGTTATACTTACCCAGACAGTCACGGTCCTCCTGTCCTCCCCACTTTCGGCTTTGCACCCTCAGGAAAAGAAGGATGAACATGGCACCGACCACGCCTTGGGTGAACTGATACAGGGCACATGACGGTTAATAAAATATTTAGCGAATAGCAATAGAGCACTAGGGAAATATGCATATGTAGTGATTTTCTGGGTAAGTATGACTATGAGGACTCCTCCCGCACTGCTTGGGGAGGGAAATTCATGAAATGAGAAAGTTGCTAAATCTGTATCATTTTAAAGAAGGATTTTGATATTCAGAGCATTTCAAGCATTGTGTTTGACACCAATGGCTATAGTACACATTTTTTTAGCCATGAGACGTGTTAACAGTTTTTATTCACTGAAAAACATTGTAACGTTGACGCAAGGATTTCTCAAATGTTATCCTTTCACTGTTGCAGCACCAACATTTTGGAAATGTATAATACCCAGTAATTACGCAACAGATCTTGGACAAGAAAAGGACCACTCCATCTCTCCATCTTTTGCCTATTGATAAATGCATGGGAGATACATTTCACATTGCAGTAGTCAACAATTTTTTTTTTTTAGATTCTAGACCTCTCAAAGCCATAATCTGAGTCCACATAGTACAATTTTGTTCTGACTGTATTAGAACCAAGTTAATGGAGTGTTTTCTTACCCTGATATTAGCATCTATGAGTGTAACAGCAAATGTACCTGCAACAAGCAGTGCCACAATAGAGTGGCCCAAAATGGACTAAGTCTACGTCTGCAAGTTTTCAAGACTGATAGACGGTGTGTAGTCATATCACAACTCGTTTCAGTTATTAGTGTGATTTTTTAAATGTTCACAATAAAAAAAGGATAATGAGTTTTATAAGACATTCAAAGTTACTCTCTCTGTAAGGCATTTATTTTTGAAAGAAAATTTTAAAGGAAAAAGTAATTTGACACAAACCCCTCAAAAACCTGGTCATTTTCTCATGAAAAAAAAACATAAATTGGCATCAACCAGTTTCATTGTTGTATTGTTCACTTGCTTCAGAATTAGTTTGAAATGCATTGCTCTGTTGGATAAATCATTTGGCATACAGATTTTCCATTTCTTACAGTGCAGTTTTTGCGTAAGAAATATAAATGATACAACTAGATACAGGAAATGATACAACTGGTACTCCACATGACGTGTTCTTTTAAAGCAACTGAAGTCAGTACAACAGAATGGTTTTCAAATGCATTGTCTTTACTTTATTAAATTGCAGAGTTTCTGTGTGATTTGTAAAAGTGTGCTGGGCTTAAGCTTAGCAACACAAGTCAAATGTGCATACGCATGTACTCGAAAGTATAAATATGCATTGTATGTTTATGTTGAATTGTCTTGTGTTTTATTGGGGACAGAGGTTGGGGTCTGCGTTGTTTGGATGATATATCCCAAGGGGCCTTTGTCTGTACATACGCGGGTCAGCTTTGGGGAGCAGAAGAAGCTAATCGAAGAGGACAGGAATATGGAGATGAATACTTCGCTGAGTTGGATCACATTGGTGGGTTTTTTTGCCGAAATGTACTATTTATAAATTAACATCAAAAAATTTTATTTGATACGTACTGTATGTGTTTGTGAAATTAATTTGGAGCTCTGTTTGACTTTTTTTTTCTTATTTTCATTTGCAGAGGTTGTAGAGAATAGCAAGGAAGGATATGAGAGTGATCCAATGGAAGATGAAGGAATCTCAGACTCCAAAGAGTCACTATCAACTAACTCAAGTGACTCAGATCAGTGGTAGGGTACTTGTGCATTGGACATATCAGTAAAGCAACTTATGACAGTTGATTTTTATATTGATGCAGATTTGTTGAAATAAAACAAAATAATGAAACTTTCAAGATTTCAAGATGATATTTAAACTCAATATTGAATGACTGGAGGTCCGAAGAGAGAGTGTTCCCTTAGACAAAACTGAAGATTGGGCATATAAGTAGATTCTTGGCAACAACAAATTGTGGCACGGGAGACATACTTTAACAGTATTAAGAAATTGATATATTGATCTCACAAATTATTAAGATCAAACTATTTAGAAACGAGATGAACGTGGTTGTGAACAACCACTGAGCTGTTTCGGAACTTTCTGTTTGGTAATGACGTCATCACAACGTCATAACTTTAGGAAAATTCTTTCATGAGGGTCTTTGTTGCGTTTAACTTTGATGTTGATCAAACCTCTGATAATTGCCCAAATGGTGGCTTGAAAATGTGTACGAAGTCAAGGGGCTGAAATGAATATTGAAAAATCACCAGTAAATTACATGACACCTAATCAAAAAAGCTGCTCCTTTATGATGTCATGTGATTTGCATTTAAACTGAAAGAAAATTCTGAAATATTATTTGATATTCAGACTCTTGGGTATCCTTGTAATCAAATGAAAAACAAGATTTTTTTTTCGTTGTCATAGTGATGCTCAGCCAAAGTTCAGGACTACCCTCATTAAGATCGATAACATTGCGTTGTAAAAAAACGTGTACAAACCCCATGGGGAAAACTGCAGCTTTAATCTCACGTGACCCCTGATGATGTTATTTTGACAATTTTTCTTTGGGAGCCTCTCTTCATGAGGGACTTCAAGTGTACATTGAAGGAAATAATTCAGATTGACCAAAGTTCCAAGGACAGGCTGACGAAAAACGTGTACAAAACCTATGGGGGAAGATTAAATATCCAAAAATTAATTTTAAAAATAGGTAATGACGTCATCGTTACATCATAAATTTGGCGAAATTCTTTCTTCAGGATCTCTGTTGTTTGTAACTTTGAAGTTGTTCAAACCTCTCAAACTAACCCAAATGCTGGCTTGAAAACGTGTACTAAGTCAGTGGGCTAAATTAAATATTGAAAAATCAAACTAAATGACATGATGACATCATCATGGTGTCATTTCTTTTGAAGAATTCTTGCATGAGGGTCTTTGTTGGCTATCACTTTGAAAGCGATCAAACATTGCGAAGGTTTGAAAATAGTGGCTTGAAAATGTGTACAAAGTCAATGGGAAAAATTAAATATTCAGAATTCAAAAAGAAATTGCGCGATGGCGTCATCGTCACAAATTTCTTCTAGGACCATCCTTGGATGATTGTCCAAAGATGTGCCAAGTTTGAAGTCAATCAATAATTGCAAAAGGGTAGAAGTCCTGCTCAGAACAAAAACCTATGTTAAGGAATGGGATTTGATGTGAAAGAAGAAATAAAAAAATTAAAAGAAAAAATAATTAACAAAAACAATAGTTGTTTTGGCCGCTGCCCGAAATAGCTAAAAATGAAAACGAGATGAGCGTTGTGTTTGTTGGTAAATAAACACTGAGCTGTTTTGGGTTTTTGTGTAAATGCTGGTTTTGTGTTTGAAAGATATAGATGATTTGTGTTTTTTTATGAATGAGACCATAGATGGTGAGGTTTGTGGCATATGTGTGCATGTTTGCTGCATTTTCTATGTGTACAAAGTCTAGGTGGGAAATTTAATATTCAAAATTCAATTAAAAGTCATGTGAAGACGTCATCTCGACGTCATTCATTTGATAACATTTTTGCTACAAGGTTTTTTTTTTTTACAAAATATTACTTCATATTCAGACTCTTTGGCATATTTTAAGTCAACAGAGCGTAAAGTACCCGATTTCTCTTTCATTCTTATAGTAATCTTCAGCTGAAGTGAAAGACTACTCGTTGACTTTTGTGAATTAGAAAAACGTGTACAAAACATATGGGAAAAATAAAATATTCAAAAATCAATATAAAAGGAGGTGATGATGTCATCATGACGTCAGTCCTTTCTAACAATTCTTGCATCAGTGTGTTTGTTTGCTATCACTTTGGCAATGATCAAACATCTTTCAGTTACAAAAATTTTCGCTGGAAAACGTGTACAAAGTCAATGGGTCTTACACTTGTTTGCAGAAGCACTGTTCCTTTAAGTTCATGTCACATGATTTGCGCTTAAACTGAACACTTTATGAAATATTACTTCCTATTCAGACTCTTAGCCATATTTCAAATCAAATAACACATCGTAAAGTAACCGGTTTTCTTTCGTTCTTATAGTAATCTTGCGTCGGAGTAAAGGACTACCCGTTCACTCATGTTATTTAGAAAAATGTGTACAAAACATATGGGAAAAAATAAAATATTCAAAAATCAATACAAAAATAAGGTGATGACGTCATCATGGCGTCATCCCTTTGCAATAAATCTTGCATCAGTGTCTTTGTGGACTTTGGGAACGATTAAACATTGCAGAGTGACCAAAATTCTGGCTCGAAAATGTGTACCAAGTCAACAGGCTTTTCCAGGCTAGCAACTGCAGGAAACTGCTCCTTTAATTTTAAGTCAAAACTGGAAAAAAATCATGAAATATTTGATATTCTGAGTCTTGGGTATAGTTGCAATTGAATGGAAGGGAAAATTTAGTCTGATTTCTCTTTCGTTCTGCTAGTAATTCTCGGTCGAAGTTGAGGTGTGCTCACACATGATCAACAAAAATCAAAGCTCAGGTAGTCTTAACGTTCTTGTGCAACAACGCCATCTATGGTTTAATATAGGACAGTTTGTTGAAAATTGAAGCCCCACCCGGCAGGTGTAACCGTAATTCTGCATTAGCGCCCTCATAGGCTGATATAGGACAGTCCAAAAACTCTGCAATCTGTGAACTAAGTCTATGGCAAAATTAATTTTTCAAAAATCAATAATAAATAAACTAATTAAGTTATCATTGCGAATTTTTCTTCTAGGACCATCTTTGGATGATTGTTGAAAGACCTGCCAAGGTTGAAGTCAATTGAAAATTGCAAAAGGGTAGAAGTCCTGCTCAGAACAAAAACCATGTTATGGAATGGGATTTGATGTGAAAAAGGAAATTAAAAGAAAAATTATAAAAATAAGAATATTTCCTATCCAAAAAAGGAAGTCAAATTGCAAAATGAAATAATATTGTTTATCATGAGTTTTCCTTGAGTCACCCATGAGTCATCACTTAAAATAACATACAACACATGAAACATTCACACTGGTTCCCACTGCTAAATTGTGACTATAATAGATGGGGCAGGAGATAGCAGTGATGAGGAAAGATGCCCATTTATAACTTTTTGAGAGATACACATGCACATACAAGAATAAAGAGAAATGAATAGGCTTTCCAGTGATACCACATTTATACTTGTAGGCAACTGTGTACTTAAATCTTTGCTTAATCGTTACTGGTGAAAGTCATAAAAGTGAGAAGCTATTTGTGGTGATCATAATGTGCAGTTGTGTGCATTAATGAAACTGCTTCTGTTCCTGCCTTGTTCATCTTAAATCTGCCGTCCAGTATGACTGAATATTTCAGTATTCTGTCGTTTGAAAGGTTAAGGGTTGGATATCTAATTATTTGATTTGATTCAGCCCTATTAAGAGACTTTAAGTAAATATTGTCATTAGCAGATAATTAATTTTCTTGAATATCTGGCTTTTTTTGGGAGTATATCAACTTTTATATCCCACTTCATATGACCTCATTTGCTGAGACTGGTGTTTATGTTTCTGTGTAGCCTGACATCTGATGAAGACTACCACATTGGCAGTGATGAGAGTGAGACATCATCTATAGCTGTAGATGTTGAGAACGATTCCGATTACAGTGATGATCTGTAAGTTTCCCTCTAACATTGTTCACATTTCGTCACTGTCACCACATATCCGGAATTTATTTTAATTGAATTAGTCAGATATGCAATTATTTAAGTGTAAACACATAAAAGGAAGTGTAAATTGCACAAAAGTAAGTGTACATGTTGGCTTTGATTTCAATATCCAGTCTAGATGAATGCAGTCAGGACTTTTTTCTTTTTAGTTTATTAGGACAGGTTTCTCTTATTCTTTGGTCCTCAATCTTTTGTCAGAAACATTGAAGAGAATGGTTACAGAAATTAACAATATATTTATTTTGGTTCCTCAAAATACTAATTGTCACCTTTTAGTGAAAAGGAAGAAAGAACAAAGTTAAAAATAATGATTTTATTATGAAATTGTAAAGACTTTTTTAAAACTGGTTGGAATTAAGGTTTACTTTTTCCTAGTTCCTAGTTTTAACAATCAGGTGGCACTGCAGGTTTGTTTTATGAACTCTTCTGCAGAATATTTCCATTAGGTAAATCAAAAAAATCCCTCTACACCCTAGTGAGCCTTTCAGTAATGCCATAGGAAGCAAAACTAGTGAAACAAATGTCCAAATGTCAAGTTTAGCTATCACCTTAATAAATCTTGGTTTTTTGTTGCTAGAGTACACGTATATCCTAAACCCTTCAAAATCCTCCATTTGTCCCAGAAAAAAAGGCATTCATTGAATTTGCTCTTTGGAGAAGTGACCACTGCCTCAGACTTCCAAAATTCTCTGGCAATTCCCGCCATCACGTAGGGGCAGTGCTAGTGGTATCCTGGAGCAGTATAGGTGATTTCATGTATAATTGAGACAGAAATTTATGCATGGCCAAGCGTAAACAATGCAGGGTCTAATCCAAAACCTTGACACATTGCATCCTTCACAATCACACATTTATTGCCATTCATTCTCAATCTTCCAAATCCTCCAAAACTTCCTGGAGGATTATGGAGCATTGAGGGCAGTTAGTGATGATATGGTTGACAGTCAGAATGTGACAATACAGAGCACCTGTAAGCATCCTCTGATATAGAAAGTATTGCTTTTCCTGTTAGTATGTGGTATTGAACGAGTATTCATCATGAGACAGTTTCTCGTGTATTACTGAATACAAAACAACAGAGCAACAGTTTCCATTGATGTTGTGATTGATGTTGAGATTTCTGACCTAGTTAGAAAGTCTACATGTAAGACTTGGATTTTAGACTTAAGGACCTTCATTGCTAAAACTGTTCCCCAGATGCTTATGATGATGGATACTTATATCTGGCCTCACTGGAGTAATTCAACTATCATCACTGAATCGTGTCCCCAGGTGAAATCCGAGTCACAATATTTGAGCCATCATACCATTTCCACAAAAAGCACTTTCAAGTGGTTTCATCTGACCACCAGTTGGTCTTTGAATACGTGTAGCTCACGTCACAATGGCCTTTGAATACTTAGTAATTAAATACCTGCAATGTACTTTGTACTGATTTTTGTTTGCTGCAATGTTTATTTCTCACACTCCCCTCCTATATTTCTATCATATTTCTAATGTTTTTGTGCTTGTCTAGTTACCATCATGTAATCTTTTTCGTCCTAATTATTTGTATTTTTTTGTGTTATTGCCATTTTTGGTTTTCCTTTTGTTTGTGTGCTTCTTTTGTTGTGGTTTATTTTTGTTTTATTGTTGTGTCTTGTTGTTGAATGAATAATAATCAGTCTCTATATGTCATCATTCAATCATGGAAGTCAGTCGTGAGTGACTAAGACGTCAGAGGCAAACGTAGGTGGGAAAGTAGCCCGAAGTCAGATGCGCAGATGCAGCCACACTGTGGGCATGCAGCAGCTGTTGATTCAGCAGCTGTTGATTCAGCAGCTCTTGGATCAGGTCGTCTCTCTTTACGGGCTTGACGCTTCAGGTCCAGATCTTGCAGACGCCACTCCTTAAATGCCTGTACTCCCCTTTGGACAGCAGGTCGCCAGGCACTGTGGTCAGTGGCCAAAGTCTCCCACCTACATTTAGTAATACCACAGGATTACGAGGACCTCTTTAGACAATCTTTGTAGTGCTTGAGTGGCCGACCAATGCTCCTGCTGCCAGAGGCCAGCTCTGAGAAGAAGACCGTCATTGGTATATGTGTGTAATCTATGGGAAACGCATGCCCGATTCACTGAAGCTGAGCTTTCATTATGAGTGCCTTGATCCCAGGCACATTTTCTCTGTGAAGCACTTCTGTGTTGGAAACTCTATCCTCCTGGGAGATGCCCAAGATCTTGTGCAGGCAACAAAGATGGAACTGTGCGGCCATGTTTCAGAGCCATACAGCAAAAATTTGATGACTACTACCCTGTAGACTGCCAGTTTGGTGTGTTGTTTGATACCATTCTCACCCCACACTCTTGACTGAAGTCTGCCGAAGAAGGCCCCTGCCTTTGCGAGCCTGTTCCACACTTCTTTGTTCATGCTGCAGGTTGAGGTCAGAGTGCTCCGTGAAGTTATCCATGTTTCTCAACTCTGTACCCTCAATTTCTATACTAGACTCCGGAGGAGTGAGACCTTCTGCTTTATGCAGGCTGATGGTCAGGCCAAAGGCTTTAGCTGCTGTTTAGAGAGAACTGACAAGATTTTGGAGGTCTGGTTCACTCAATGCTTCAGGCATTAATTGCACGGATCACCTTTGTAGCACATGCAGAATCTGCTTTTTTGTGACTTTCTGAGAAGAATTCACCGCGTTTATGTCCCCGACGCCTTGAATTGCAGATGTGGTGCCCACATTCCAAGGATAACCAGTATGTATACATGCACATGTACATGCACACTGAGCATCTGCCTGTGCACCACGCATAGAATGTTCAGGTTGACCACGTCACTGCGGCAGCCATGCATAATTCAAGACACGATCAGCATAACGATTGCGTTCATCCCGGGGCTGCTACATTCAATGTTCTTGCCGTGAGTGAACTTCAATGCGGTTGCCGCAGTTCCTAGCAACAGGGCGTAAAAGCGGTGACCGCATGCGGTTAAACTGTGGTGACCTTTTGGACAAGCTCCCTAAACCATTAGCATCAAGGTGATCTATTAATGTGCTTAAGAAGGGCACAATTTCGTGCCAAAGGTTTTTTAAACATGAAGTTATTTTACTTCACATCGCATTTGCGTGAAGTACAACTCAATATTCACGTAAAGGTAGAGTAATGGACCGTAATACAGGTTGTTTTAATGCCAGGTTCACACCAATAATGATGCCGTAAAGCATTTGCTGCTATAAAATTCGCCAGAGGGCAAACATGTTAAACATTTGCTAACTCTCAAATAATCAGCGCGAACGTGAACGTTTTTGTCCTTTTTTTTTACGTAAGTTGGTGCCGAATTCGTGCTGCAAATTTTCAAATTACACACCTGCTTCACAGAGTCCGCAGCTGATAATGCTTCTTGAGGTCAAAACAGCATTTCAACATTTTAAATCTGTGGAAAGAACGTAATATGTGGATGTTTCTGTGAGTCGATCATTTTATTCCAACATCATCATATCCATGGAAAGAGCGCAATATGTAAATGTATCTTCTATTCGATCATGTTTTCCAACATCATTCCGTCTGCGGAAAGAATGCAGTATGTAAATATGTCTCTTTGTCTTGTGACATACATGTAGTTTCTCTGCAACAATAGTGCCCACCCAGGCCAGCTACTTCTTGCGTGCTCAAGTGCGCACGGGCGTGCAGTTCACCAACTTTCCGGCCCCTTAGCAATGACAGACTGTCACCCCAGGACTTAAGACAGACAAAAAAGGAGGAAAGATGAGTGGAGTCTCTGAATCCTTGGCAAAGAGGTGTACGGAGGTTGTGGGTTGCCCAAGTACCACAACCTCCCTCTTGGCCAAGCTGCTCTAGCCAAGAGGGATGCAAAACATAAGGTCTTGTCTGTGACTGGGCTGCAGGAGCTGCCAGAATGAAGAAAGAGTTTGCCCCAAACCGCCTTAAGGGGCTCCCCTCCTGACTCCTCTAACCTTGGTCTTTCCCAAGATTACCCACAAGGCAGTGGGACCAAATTACCCATGGCTTGGGATTTGTGGTCAGAGTTTCCCTTCTAGGTGGGTTGCCTCCCATGGCTGTTGAGCCCTGCTCACCCAGAGCTGTTGGCTTTGAGGTGCCAGAGACTTGTCTGTCACACCTCTGCTCTCAGTTTCAAACAAGGGCTGGCACAATAAGCCAAGCAGTAAGGGTTTGGTTAGGAGAGGCTTTTGGAGATGCTAACCTAATGGGGTCTTTTAGAAAATGGGAGGTGGCTCAATTCTTCTCACTGCCCCAGTCATCCTAACCCTTTGGCCCCCAGTCTCTACATAAACATACTGAAAAATAACAGCTTTCTGTGGCCAGTAACTAGAGCAAGTACAGGATGGACAGTCTTGATGCCTACTAATGACTCTAAATCCTCATCTTTAGCAGCTTTTCATCACTGACACTTGGTCCTTTATTCACATACCTTGTCACAGGTTTCTCCCCTTCCTGCAAAGATGCCTTGGCGATTTGATGTGAAATACCAAATTTCCTGAAGTTCTTGTATTTGTGGTTCTTATTCATCAGCAGATATTCGAGCACATACAGTTTGCGTTCATGGGTTATCAAAGTGTACATGCATGACAAGTGTACCTACAGCAAATGACCTTTGCAAGGCCTTGTGGAGCTACAAGTAAAATCCAAACTTACATTGTTCATTGCAAGTACCAATCAAGCACTTTTATAGCTCAGTGTGTGCTTATAGCAAGTAGTGTCAAGAAGTGCACATGGATAGGGGACCAGTCAAGCTTGACAGTGTCATTTTGGCTGGATAAGAAAGCAGTGAGTGCCAGTGGCCTGATACCCTGTGTTAAATATCTTGGTTTTCAACAAACCAAGCTGGAAATGTCAGTGAAGGACAGGTTTAAAAATAAAAATTACAAAAAAAAATTAAATCCACTTCCGTGAGTTTTCTGAATGGCAGTCAAAGGATATGCCTAAAAGAATTTAGTATATTTTTTTAGCTTCTCCTAAGGCAGGAACAAGGACCAGGGAATACAAAAGTCTGATCTTTTAACATTCAACAAAAGATTACCTCAGCTGTCCACATAGACATGCACATATGTCAAATGAAGATACATTTTATCACATCAGATGAGCTTTGAAGCTTTTCATGGTGAAGACAGCAAATTAGTCGTAGAGATTTACGGTAGCACCATGCTACACACCTCACCGCCTCCAGACACAATATAAGCAGCTTCCACATTGGAACCTCTACAATCTCTTGACAATGGACAGAGCATACACATGTACTCTCCTAAACATTGAGTATCCTCCGGTTCTTTTCAGAACCACACACTCTTGTAAAAGAGATACCCTTGCATAGTGCTACCACAAACCTCTGTAACTAATTTTATCACATCCCCGCGCTTAAAAACTGTTCCGTGTTGGTGCATCAAAAAGGTGCACATCTGATTGTTTCAACAGAGTTAAAGCTTAAAAAAAATCAAGTGTACATTCATATTTAAATTTCTTTTCCAGTCAAAAATAAATAAAAAGCTTTTAAGAAAATATGTTGCACGCAGCAAAGGGCATATCTTAAAGACCAACTCCAATGGTTTTAAAAGTTTTGACAATAAACTCCTATTGTGTTTAGCAGGAATTACATGTACATGTAATCAGACATTACCAAATCATGTCTGTAGTGCATCTGTATTTTTGGTACTTTTGAATGGTGTCTTTGAGTTTTATGAAAAATTTCCACAATCTGGCCATTGTTTGTGTTTGAGTTTGTGCTCCTTTTTTCATCATTTACAATAATGCCAAAATGGTCTGTCATTGGTGGATGTACTAGAAATGCTGCCAAAGAACCGGGATTGAAATTCTTCAAGTTTCCTAAGAATGAGAACATTCTTCAAGTTGGTCCTGTCGTCGGCAGCAATGCTCGCTATGCAAGCTGCGCGCGCACTGTGGTATTTCCTCTCCACGGTAATACATCACCAAAATCAACATTCATTAGATGCTTGTGACGACATATCCATTTTTACAAAACCAGACTGGACTCACAGGAAAAATGGGTACAAAAACTGTTTTATTAACACCAAAACATGTACTGCAAGAGAGATACTCATATGTGCCATTTTTGTTATTCTTGGCTCTTCTGAATAGGTTTCGATATGAGAAAAGTTAGCATTGTTCAAGTTAGATTTTAATGCATTGAATATGTGCGCCGGTGAAGTTCAGTTATGTTTTTGGACAATCATTTTATGATGAGATAAAAGATGCCTGATTGTGTAGTATCATTCCAATTGCTTTTATACCATTTAAATTAAACTTGGTAGGAATGTCGCAGATGTATGTTTAAATGTTATAACAATTTAAACATATAATAAAACTGTTGATTAGAGCATTTAGTTCTCATTATAACAAATTAATGGTTATTTGGTGAAAACTCTAACGGGTGTGATGTGTTTTTTCCTCACAGGGTGACGCTTTTATAAGCTAAAATTAGCCATTTTTCTTGATCTCAACCCTGACCATATTGCTATCAATATCTAGAAGCTCAACAATTTTCATCAAAATTGGAAGACTTGTGGTCAAAAGCTTTGGTGGGCTGATACGGAGTGGCCCATATACAGCATATACAGCATAGATCTCCACACTTTCTGCTCATTTTTGTAGAGAACACTATTTGGAATTTTAATAATTTGATATCTGTGGAACTAATGCACTAAACCAAGTCCATTTTAAATAACTGTGTATCATGTAATACCAACATGACTGTGAGACATACATCTGTGTGTACAATGTAATTCATTGTGTGGTCTCCCACCTGAGGGACACCCCTCTCTGTTGTTGAATCTGTGCTTGTTTCCAGCTAGTCACAGGAACCATTTGTACTTGTCAGGTTGGATGTAGAATGATGGCACTTTAACCAGTGCATGTAACATCTCATAAACAATTCCATGGTAATTTACAAATGTTTCAATAGATACATACAGAATACTAACATGTCATGTGAAGCAATGATTCATGTCACATCAACTTCATGCATAGCCCCACATTTGTATGGATGACTTCATTTGTACTCATCTGCAACTAGCCGTTTTAATTCTTCTCCTACATGTACATGTACATACCCTCTGCCTATGCTTTGCACAATTTTTCCTGCCGGCCAGGGGTTCTAACCTAGCTGCTTTCCCATTTATCTTTCAAAATGATTGCCATAAACACAGGGCTAAAGTGCAAAGCAGTGATTCCACAGTGACTAAGATGGTGTTCCGCAGGCATCAATTTGAGTCTGGGAGTGGCAATATGGTAGAAGGCAGCTGTTGGTAAGATTAATTAATCATCTCTGTCACTGCATGTTGCTTATTAATTGCTTTGTGGACAGGACAAAGATGTGCATATAGTAGTTACATCACAGTGACCCTGTCTGATATCAAATTACAAGTTACTTTAAGGTCAATCTTCAAAAACATGTTTCACATTATTATACTATTATATCGGGCTGCATGTCTGCTGAATGCAAACACTATTGTAATAGTTAATTTCATGATTAAGACATGATTTACGTATGCTAAATGCAAACAGAAACACATAAAAAAGCAGTATGCATGTTTTTCTTAGGACCCTGTATTTAATTCTTAGAATCTGACAGAAGATGATCAAGTGGGATGGAAGCAGCTCTTACTGTCACACATTTTAATGTACTTATTACAGTAACAAGACAAATGATGCAGCAGTTGTCATCTGTCTATACATGTACATGTTAAAATCTCGTTCTGGTTCCCGCTATCCTCTTTTTCACTTGAGTATAATGCGTATTCTCGAGTTTTCGTAGCTTACATGTACTTCCAAGCTTTCTATATTTATGAGTGACGATTGGCCCGAAAAACTCAAACAAAACCTTAATCCCTATATTGTTATGAAATACCATCAAATCTATGGTTATTACGTAATCAGCCTCTGTTATTACATTATTGGTTGCTAGGGTTATTACATTATCGGCTTATTTTAATTACATTATCAGCTGGTATTAAATTATCTGTAAATGTTATTACATTATTGGATGGTACAACATTATCGGTCATAACACCAAGGCGGTCTCAGCACTTTTTGTCGAGGGGAGATTATTGGGTTTCATGCACAGGACCCATAGCCAACAGTGTACATGTATGTGTACGTAGCTCAGTGCATTCATGTAAATCTACACACGTGTGTGTACATGTCATGCTTGGCCTGTCGAGTGCAACTTACATATGTCGTATGATGACTAGAGGGAGTGACTTTGCGTGTTTAGTCTACTCATTACATGCT